AAAATATGAATAATAATCACCATGGCATATGAACCGGAGCCATTGGCCTTAGTACCTGAAATGGACATTCCCCCATCCTGATTTTTATATAATCCTGGTAAATGTCTATGTGAACAATACTTCAAAAGGCAAAAAGTCGAAGATTTCTGAGTGGAAATATGGATGTGAAAAGCAACGAAGGATAACACACAGATAACAGACAGATTGAAACCCCAGAATGAGGACACATTAATCAAACAAATGGAAATCATCCAACTAACAAGTCATTTTTGTTTTTTCAGTCACTGCTTCATGTATGGTTCCTCAATTCATGGGTAAAATCATAAAAATATTGAGAGAATTAGTTATTAGATGGAGCATCATATGAGGGGCATGAACATGATGATGGTGAAAGAAAAACAGTGTATGATGGCTGAGGAGTATATGATGGCTGAGGCAAACAAAGACAAAACAAGAAACTGAAACTTGAACCAAAGACATCTTTTTCTCATGGGCATGCAAAATTCAGGCACAAATTATGCAAACAGAAACAACACCTCTCTCTCTCCTTTTGCACTCATGATGGGAAAACTGTTAAACATCTTTTCCTTCCATCATCAGCAGAATCTTTCTCAGGATTCATGCCATCCGCATGGGAACGTATATCATAAGCTGTTAGGTTTTCTACTGCCTAGAAAGTTCCCAAACATTATTTATTGTATTTTTACATTAATATTTGATTTAATAATAAGTAATAAATGTATCTTTCGTGTCAAAATTATAGAAAAATGATTCTTCTCAGTGAGTTAATTGTCTTGTTATTGGTCCACTTGTATAACTTATACTAAAGATCATCTTAAAGTAATACTCGAGTCTTTAATTTAATGATTAATATATGATCTTCAAATAATAATAATAATGTACAAGCTGACCCCCAAGAGTATTTTTTAGTGCCCGCTAGCCCAATAAAATTTTCGAAAGAAGAAACACAGAAAGGAAACAGTTTACTCTAACAGCATGGATCCAGGTGTGTTTCTGCTTAGCCCAATATCCATTTCAGTTTTTCCTGCTTCTTTCTTACTCCTTCGTAAAATATTGGGCCTTCAGTTGGACTACAAGAATTATATTTGAACTATGATGGCTCTTTCATGGCACTTTTTTTTTCTTTTTGATTTGATTTTTTAAGTAAAAAATCATGTACCAATTAGAGATAAAACCTCCTTAAGAAATGGGCACTTCCAAATTTTTAAAAAAATTTTCTATATTATATAAAAATTTTTAAACTTTTTTATGAATTTTCTTAATGGCCCATGTAAAATAATTTCTCATTTAATAATTAATACAAACAAAAAATAAAAAAATGATTTTATATGCTTGAGTCAATTTTAAAGTTTTTTTTATCTTTCGTTTTTCAATTTATATTATTTATTTATTTATTTCTATTTTATTTACTGATATAATCTAAATCTTTATAGAAATTTTTTCACAAATTTTTACGAACCATTAATCATATTTTTTTTCTTTTTTATTACGTCATATGTAGGTTCTATTTTTTTACTTGTTATATTTTTTTATGTGAATTTTATTTTTTAAGATTTTAATATTTAAAAATTAATAAATTATTATGTAATTCTTAAATATAAATTGTAATGTTGCATTATTGCTTAGAATTTTATCAATGTATCATTTTTTTATGTAGAATAATTAATGCGTTCTGACATGTATGTTGTAAACATTAAGTAACAAATATATACATACAAATTGACAGAATTATAGTTGAATTTCTTTTAATACAATTTTCTTTATTATATAAATTTTTAATGACTCTCAAAATAATTTTTTTATTTAATAATTATATTTATTCCTCAAACCGTTTGATAAAATTGGAGTCATTTTGGTCAGCATATTGCTAGTTAAGTCTAGCAAATAAATTCTATCTTAATATATTAAGCCTATCAAATTTTTAAAAAAAATAAAAGTGAGTCTACTAACTCAAACCCACTAAGTTTTAATATAAATCTAAACTCACTTATCATAACATATTATATCTTAAGAGTCTAACTCAATAATCTATCATAACATATTTTATCTCAATAGTTCAACCTAATAACCTAATATGTTAATTAACAATTTAAAAAGTAAATATAAAATAAGAGGAGAGCTTCTTCAGAAAGTTACCTATTTCGTATAAAACATACAAAGTAAAAAGATAATTTGTTTGAGTTTGAAAAATTGTTCTCTTCTACTATTGTGTGTAGAGAGTGAGAAAACCTCATTTCATAATTTTATTCAGTCATATATATATATATATATATATATATATATATAACACAATCATTACTGGTAATATGTATTTTTTTATATGTCTAATATCTTGTAAATTTTATTTAATCTTTTAAATGAGTTAGAATTGAATTATACATAAAGTTCTCTTTGATTGTTTAGTGTCTTATTCTATTTGGCCTTCTTTTAAAAATACTCTAGCTCTGTCTTTTATATCAACCATGAGCCAAATGCTAAGACACAACCAATGCGCCAAATACTTAGGTGCTTTTTTATGGCACTGCTTTGCTGCTTTTTCCAATAATTGAAGGACTCTACTAGCAAGACAACAATAATTTGATGTGTTTATTGTGAGTTAATTAATCTCATATTTTAATTTAATTTCCCCTAGATTAATAATTTTTTATTTTTTGTATTTTAAAACTTATTTTTCTAAATGATCGATTTCTACTCATTTATTTCTCATTTTCCCAAAAAAGAAAAAAAGAGAGTAAATTTTAGGTATCTAAAAACATTGACTTCAAAGCATTTTAAAAGAAGTAGGTAAGGTATTTTAATCTTATGATTAGGAGAGAGTACGGTTTGGTTTTTTAGGTTTTTGGTTCAGTTTTTTCTAAAATTGATAAAAAAAATGATCATTTGGAATCACCCAAACTAAACCATGTAAAGGTCGATTTCGATCGATTTTAATCAACTTCGGTTCGATCGATTTTGGAGTGATGATGAAACACTGGTTGGAGAATAAAAGAGAGACTTGGACCACTTGGTTGCTGGTTTAGGATTTAGTATGAGAAAGAGAGTGAAAATTTGAGGTTTTTGTCAAGGGGAGAATAGAAAAGGAGACTTGGCTGCTGTTAGTTTAAAGGGGGTTAATGAAGGGTAAGATAATCTTTACCCCTCAAATATATATAAAAAATTAAATAAATAAAGCAGTCGGTTATCGATGGTTTAAGGGAAGGGATCCTCGGCGACTGAGCTGAGCCACTATAGAGTCAATGGCACCATCATCGGTTGCAACAACAGCGTCGATTGAAATAACCGATGTTGAAGTCGATTGCCTGGTTGCAGCCGACTGCTGCCTTCTCCTAGTCGTGATGGAGATATAAGCAATCTTGAAAGGTTTATAAGTTTGGATGCTACACTTCTCGTTAAGTTAACATTTTAAAAGGACAATAATAGTTACTGTCTCCACCAAGAACATCGTAAAACTACTAGAAAATTTCCGAAAAAAAAGAGTCAATCACCACATTAGGAAAATTAAAATACATGAATTTTCATCAAAAGCAAGTTCCGTAAACTTCACAACTCGATAAAATCGACTCTTCCATCTTCATCTTCATCAGCAACCCTTATCACCTTCTACCTCCTCCAACCGCAGCAAGCTTCTTCACGCCTAAGCAACGCAGCACTCTCTGCAGCTCTGTGCATCAAAGAACCCGTCTTTGTTCTCATCGAAACGCGAAAGCTCCTTAAACCCTCCAAGCAAGCGCTTCCTGATCGAACGACTCGTAAGCTCATCTGGTCCCAAAATCCTCCCCTCGTAACTCATATCCCCGTCCATCACCACCTTTATCTCTCCACGCTAGCTTTCACAGCACCTGTCACCCCGAATGGCACTGATTTCCATTCAAACCTCGGGTGTTTCCAAAATTTCCAGCATGGAAAAGAAGGGTGAAGCAGCCAGGTTGGAAGTGGAGAAGGAGCTTTGACAGAACGTTATGATTGTCATGTCGCAATGTTGGATCAGCCTGAAAGTGAAAAAAAAAAAAACTTTGGTTAGCATCTCACCCATCAAGGATTAACAAATCAGTTCATGTTGGAATGATATATATGCTCAAGAATTTTTCCAGCTTCGCGACAAAGTACTAACAGTAATACCAGGCAGCTTCCAAGTATCCTCAACAAAACGAAAAATATTGGATTACTTGATTGACCATGCACGCTTTTCAGTCATTAATTACACTTACCCTCTCGCATGGAACTTCACTTTCTTGCATGCTACAGGAAATTCTTGCAAGGGCATGTGGAAAGGAAAGACAGATATTGTTCGGGGAAGCTGGGAACTGTCTATTCTTTCATGGAAGTTCCATGTGAACGTCCCGGAAGGGTTAAAGGTTCAAAGCTCTATGATTGAAATTTCGAGATAAATAAGATGAATGATGGGACGTGAGATTTATTTATTAAAATTTAATTCGAAAATCTTATTATAAACAAACCCTACACGCTACTCACTATTGTAATAACTTAATTAATCACTTGCTGATGGTATAGGAAACATAAAACAGATATTTTAGACTCTATTTATATTAAAACAATTACTCGGAATCATCAATATATATATATGCTAAGACTTTAAAATATAAAATGTACCTAATTGTTTAATCTACGATTTGATGATGGAAACGGATTAACTAAATTCAATGTTCTCCTCTTGGTCTAATAATATTTTAATGAGTGAGATTTTAATATTTATAAAAGATTAGACTAATTGACATATATATATATAAATATATATTATATATAGTATGATCCTAATCCCATTCGTCATAAGATTGGGTTTTCTATATTATGTATTGTATTTTATATTTCACTCGTCATAGGATTACGAGGTTTTCATATATATAATGTATTCCTAATTCCATATATCATAAGATTTAAAGTTTCTTATAAAGGTTCATATCTGATATTTAAGCATAATCTACTTTAGATCATAGTATAAGCTATAAGATTATCTCTTTGTTAAGAACAAATTGTTAACTTAATCTGATTTTGATAAAAAAATAAACCAAATAATGTAAGTCCACAATTTAATTATTTAAAAATCTTTATCAAACATGAATCAGCTAAAAGAAAAAAAAAAGCTGTTAATTTTTCCATGGCCGGTAGTTAATTTTCATTTATAAGGTTGCTGAGAAGTTCAGTAACATTATTAACATGATTTAGGCCCAAAGGACAAGTGTAACTAACAAAGATATAGCAATAAATAAATAGATTGAAAGTAGTCAACAACCTTATCATAACTCTTAAGTAACTTTCAATGTATTTTCACTTTCTTTTAATATTAACCATAGTAAATGACAAGTTCTTTCAGTTCTGTCCTTTAGGTCTTGGTCTTGCCCTTCTTTTGGGGTGTAAAGCAAATTGTCTGTTCAATTTCCACCCCCAAAAGTAACCTGTTTTCTTTCTATGCTTGACTCGTCGACTGCTTTCTTAATTATCCATTTGATTTTTTACAATATATTTGTACTATGTTTGGTGTTGGTAGGAAGGAAGGGAACAGAACAAGGTGAGGAAGGAAAAAAAATTAAAAAAGAGATGAAAAATTGTTTTCTTTCTATCCCCGGACTCTAAAATTTTTTCATAAATCAAAATTTATTTGTTAAAATGAATTTAAGTTGACTTTTGGATCTTATTTGAAAATATAATTAAATAATTAATTACACTTACATAAAAAAATTTGATGACATTTTATTTCACGCCGAACAATGAAGTTTCGAACACGTATGTTGGGAGAATTGTGTTAATATTTATATTAATATATGAAGTCACTAAATAAGTTCATATCACAAGTTTAAGACACTTACAATATTATAAGATACCCTAAATCAACATAGAAATTGCTATACTTAACAATTAATTAATTAAGTGAAGTCAGACCCCTCTCATGTTAAAGAGTTTGTCAAGCAATTTGCAATAAACAAAGGATTAAGAGTTGTTTGACATAGACTCGGTACAAATGGAATTAAAGAATGAAAAAAAAAAAAAAAGAGGTCAATATCTCCAAAGCATAGTGGGATTAATTGTTTTCCCCACCGAGTTTCCCTTATGCTTTTAAAGGAAAATTATTACTAAATAAACAAAAATGCTACTCAATTAGTGTTATCAAACAATAATTAAATAATTTGATGAAAGGTTAATGATGGTACCTAATTATGAATATCTTTGCTTATGCGGTTTCCTCCTATGATATAAACTATTGCTAGGGTTCCAATGATGCAAGGTTTACTATACTTAATGTCATAGTCATTAAAAGTTTTTAAAATTTCTGTCATGTAATAAGTAAGAAGTAACTAATGCATAAAGGTATTTAAGGTTGAATCATCTATCTAGATTTGTAAATTCTATTTGACTTGAGATGAGTTTAGATATAAATTTGAATTCGAGTTTGGTTTATTTATAAATAATATATTTTTATTTACTTTTGTAATATATTGATATAAAATAATATTAATAAAATAATAACTAAAATGATGAGCCGGGTCGGGTTCGGGTTTGACATTCAGAAGGGAAGACTTGATAGACCTGACCTAATTAACCCACAAACTCCTCTACCTATGCATGTATATATTTACATATGCTAAAGTAAGAGTAACATAAAATTATCATCCCACTAGATAGAAACCCCCAAAAAAAAATGCATAAAGATATATATATCCTTATGGCGGATTGATATTCATCTTGGATGTTGGTTGTGCTCTCAGTTGCCTGTCCCCTAGCTGACACGATCATATCCTGTATAGAAAGAACAGGAAATCTCTTAGAAACAACGTAGGATGGCATCACGTGGAGTAGGTCCCGTGACAGCTTTTTGTGGTTTTCTCTTGAGGTTAATGAAATATCTGAAATGTTTCAGGTTTTGGCTGATAGATTTGGACGCAAACAACGGCTTTCCATCTGATTTTTTTCGGATACTAGACTTCGTCCTTATATTTGATCACAAGCTAAAACCCCAAACAAGAGAAAAGGTCTCCATCCATCACTTTGATGCCATGAGCTTTGAATAATCATGGTTGGTTAGTGGAGTTATTTCTCATACAAAAAATGTAGTAACAGTTAAAAAAAGGAAGGAAACAAAAGCATGGGGGGTTGGAGAAAAGGGGAAAGAGAAGAGAAGGACTTTATCCTCTATCTTTTCTACTTTATGGAAACTGGTTGGCTGGATTCTTTGGGGTTTGAAAGGGAAAGGCGCTTTGATTTTACATAACATAAATAATTCATGGTTATCTGCTCAACCTGATGAGGGCCTACATTACCTTTTTCTGTCATTTGAATCTGCCTCTTTCCATTCCGATTAGGAATATCAGCATATCAACCTTTTTAAGAAGGGAATTTCACATTATGCCTGATGTTATCGAGGTGATTTTACCTTATAACCAAGGAGAAAAACTGTTTTTACAGTCTTGAACTGTTCTGCCAAACGGGCCCTGATGGGCGCAGCTAGGCACCCATTATATATATCTCCTAGCAGCAAGAGCAGTTGAGAGCCTCCTAGAAGGACAAGTAAGATATTTATTGCAGTAGAAAAAGGATAGATGAGTACAGGATTGGAAAACTGAATATTGCTGGTGAAGTAAAACTGTACAAGAGTGAAAAGTGATGAAAATTAGTTACAGATTATGATTAATTTAAGACTTCATTTCAGGACATCTCTGAAAGTTGCACCATCCAAGTATCTCTCAGAGCTTTCAAGCTATATATATCACAGTCCCTCATGAAATTTTCTACATGGAAACCTGCCTGACCATTCGTGGTAAAGGTACATTGTCAAAGCAGATATAAAAGATAGCTAAATGAGATAGTCAGGGATAGGTTAGGTGGAAGTAGATAACTTGAATGTTAGCCCCCTCCCCTTTTTTTTATATGATTAGCTTGTCATATTCTTCCACTACATTGGATTGCTTCACCGAGGTTGCCTAGCAAGATAACCTTATATATGGTTGAAGGTGGAAAAAAATCTGTCAACTGCAAAGTGGTTGCATGATGTGAGCTCACTGGATCCATTTCTGACATAACGTATAGAGTATGCTACTGGCATCATCTCTCTTTCATGTATTCTCATGGAAGTTGAGAGACCGAGACAAGGCTGCAGGGTTGGCTCGCAACACTGGGAATGTTTCTAGTCTGTAATTTTTTTCATCCCTGCTTTTTGATTGAAAGCCATCAAATAGACCTCCTGAATTGATAGAATTGGTCTTCTTGCCTTCAATCACAAGTGTTGCCAGCATTGAGCTTTTTGCAGTCTGACCAGGATCATCTATTCTCAAAGTTTTTGAAATCAAAGCTCTTCCTTCCGATTTATTACTCTCTCCTGAGGGCTTTTCTTTCTCCAAGTTGGCTGGACTGAGAAAGTTCTCATCCCTGGAATGTTTCCCCAGAGTTGGAGAAGTTGGGCTAGAGCTTGGAGCGCATTGGTTAGCAGAAGAAGGTGATGGGGAGGTAACTGGAACATCCCAAGGGCTTGGTACACTACAACCGCTATATGTCGGTGGTGCCAGATGGAAGGTTACTGGCAAACCTGGAGGGCAGAGAGCCGGTGGATGTGGAAGCATTGCAGGGATTGAGTCCCATGGATAAGGCCAAGAAGGCCTAGAGAAACAGGGTGCTGTAGAAGTAAACCAGTGACTATTCTTAACCTCTGCTTGATTTAAACTAGCGTTGCCTTCCTTCTCTAAGGAATAAGAAGCAGTAATCAAAGATTCACGCGAGTGATTATCCTCAACAAGATACCTTTGCTCAGTTTTGCGAAACCCATTCTGAACATTAATCTGTGTTTTTCCTGAAAGATTGAATACTGAAGCTACAGGTATAGAAGACTCTGAGCCAAATGAAAGGACATGGCCATTATTGTTTTCACAAGAGGGGTTTCCGTGCATTCCATTTGCAGCACTTGCTTTAGCTGCTCGGATAGCCTCGGAAATCATGATATGATGGTAATGCAGAGTAGAAGAGCTCTTGGTTTTGCGGCGACCCGCACCAACAGGCACGTTCCTCATGGTTCCTCCAGCAGTCCAGTATCTTTGACAGTTTTTGCAGAAATGACGGGGTTGGTTCACATTGTAATTGTTATAATAGCAAAACTTGGTTTCCTTGCTATTACATCGGGGACATGGAAGTATCTTATCAGGCTTCTTCAAAGTCTTTTCCTGCGAGGAAGTTGTCTCACTTGTTCCTTCGTTCTTAGAGCTTTTAAGCGATGAAGTGTTTCTTTCAGCTAAAGGACTCCTATCATTGCGCGACAATGCAGTAGGATCTTTTAAATCATCTCTGATCTGATCTGGTGTGCTGTCTTTCTGTTTATCCTTGGGGAGTTCTTTCTGTGTAGATTCCTAAATTCAGAATTTTAATGAGAAATTATTGAAATAAATGAGATAACCCGCTTGTCTACTGTCATGAAGTAAAGAGCATAGAGGCTAGGAGTCAATTGGAAACTCAAATTCAAGCATAAATCTCTATGGCACTAACTTGGCAGCTACCTTCAAATTAACAAGAAGGATGAAATCAGGAAGAAAAGGAATAAAAAAAAAATTGAAACACCCCCAGAAAAACGACCAGTGGTTAGCCTGGCTGTTTAAGGGTTAACTTGCGATCTGCAGGTGCTCCAGGTGTATCCTCAACAAAAGGAAAACCCAAAAAGGAGAAACCCTGATCTGTTTCTGAGAGACTCTGGCAGGGAAGCTTTCGACTCAGTTATTCCTCTGGCAAGAGAATCCATCAGAAAGCTTTAAAAGTCATAGATGGCGAATCATTGAAAATGAGCCCTCGAGTTAAGAGACATCTCCAGCTCAAAACAGAGCAAGCTCATTCAAGGCGGTCGGAAAAGATCAAAAAAAAAAAGGAAGTATAATAACAGTAGAACTAGATTTCAGCTAGGCAACTTACTTGAAGTTCAATAAACATAAATAGTGTTTGCTCAGTTGTGTCCAAGCAATCATCCTTAACCTGAAATGATTGTTGGAAACTGAAAGAAAGTATTCATAACATTTCTCACAGAGTACTCAAAACAATCAGGTCAAGCAAATAGAAAAAAGAAGCACGATCCTAATTCCAGTAGCTGAACTTAGTTTGAATGTTTGATCAAACCCAAAACCAATGGTTCTTTGACTAGAAATTGAAAAGCCAATAAAGATGCAAAAGGGTGAGAGAGTTTGAATCAACCCATCAACAGTTGACTTTTCTAGAAAATGGGTTGTTCTTCGAATTCCCAAAAGCGTAAGCCATTAAGAATTGCAAGGAAAACAAAAATCCACAACTGAGTCAACGACTTTCTCAAGTCCCGAAAGTGCAAAAATTTCCAGGTTGTGAAAAACAGTTTGTAGTTTGTACTTTAGGAACTCAAACTCAGTCAGCATGTATACCTGGTCCTCCCTGGTAACCTGAGCCTGAATCCCATCATTAGAATTCACTCCACCTAAAGAACTGGATGAAGAAACAAGATTTCCATCACAGCAGTCCTCCCTAGCAGCTCCTTTAAAGGGTATCTCCTGATCAGCTAAAGCTTCCTCCTGGTTCAATGTTGGCAATGGAATCGTCTTGCCAAACAGCTTTATAACAGAAGAGTCGTTGAGTTTAGACATATTTCTAAACACAGCAGCCTATCTACTTTAACCAATGATTCTCTCCCTGGCTTGTTTGCCTCGGTGACAGTCTCTCAGGATTCTGTTGCTGGTTCTAATCGAGGGGAGAACGCGGCCATGGGTGTTGGGGTGGGTTTAAACAAAGGTGGGGAATGCCACATAAGCAAGAGGCAAACCATCGAGAGCCACAATTTTTCTGGTCTTCAAGATCTTTCATGCTGTTATATTCCTCCACATTGCTCAAAAAGATAGTGCTTTGTCTGCCCCCCACCTCTTTTTTCGCCATGTCGGATGCCCTCACCTCCTTCCTTTTCTTCTTCCGAGTACTTGACCATCTCTTCTCAAATACTCGCTTTCTCGCTCCTTTCTTCCATCAAATCATTGCCTTGACTTGATGAACTTATCTTAGCTTAAAATCTTCTTGACTAACCCAACAAACTAAGAGCTTCTTTCCTTTCTTTCTTGATTTCACTCATAAATGTGGATATTTACACATCATCCATCTATACAAAACAATGGATCGATTCTAACTTCATTATATTCTCGAAATTTGTCACTTGGTGAACAAGTAAACATGACATGTCTTGAAATTTTTTCTTAATATTTACAATTTTCCAAAGTAAAAGTTTTCATCCATTTAAACTTTGGTTAATGTTTAATCGATAACAAATATTAAAAAGATATTGAACGATGAAATTGCTAAAAAAGTATTATGTAAATATACTTCAATTTGTCTTTAACTTTTAATTGGTACTGACTCTAACAAACTTTGGTTGCATTTTTTTTTTCTATTTTGTGATTACTATTTAACAAAATTGGAAAAACAAATAAATAAATTGTAAAACTAACAACTAATTAGTAAATAATTGAAGCTTTAAATACATGCAAAGGTCTTTAATAGTTCTAACTCTATAATTTATTGTTTAACATAGTATTTAAACAAACATAATGAGACGACTCATAAATTACTTTTTTCATTTTTTTTAAAATCTCTCTTTGACTTTCACCAAGATTAAAACAAAAATTTTTACTTTGATATATTTTATATAATATTTTTAATTTTAAAAAATGAAAATATAAAAATAAATTTATCATATATATATATTTTTTTGAGATGTTTAAAAGGAAAAAAAAAGTCATTTTGAGATATTTCAAAACAAAAAAAAAACGAAAAAATGACCTATGTTAATTATTTTCCTTTCTTTTTCATTCCAAAATCAAAGAATTTGTCCCTTATCAAACATAAACTATTATTAACAGTACATTTTGGTAATAAATGCTTTTATTAGTTGCAATTTGCGAATACAATTTGTTTTTGGGCGAGTTGCCGATTTTTTGCTTTTTGTTTTATAAAGGAAAAAACTATAACCATATCCTATACAACCTGTCAACGCCAACATGCAACAAAACCACGTGGCAAGTGACCCACCCGGCTGGTCATGTACAGCTCAGCATCTATTCTCACGTAGGTCCCAACTGCGAAAAGTGAAAACACCGAGAAAAGTTTCGTTTTAACAACACGTCATCCCTGCCGTGGTGATGACCGGCAACCGGCATATCCCGTTTTTCCCCCCCGGGTGAAATTGCAAAACGATTCCTCCTTTTATAATGGCCGTTCTTTGTTGGCAATCGGTGGTCGCCACGTGTCCGGTTTAGGTTAGAGATAAAGACACTGGACCGTTAGTGTTTTTTGTTTTATTCTTTTTATTCTTAATATTAGCGAAAGGAGACTATACCTGTTCGAACATTTAATTTAATAATTAATATATAATTTTTTAATTTAAAAAATATCGTTTGAATTTATGTTTTTTAAGTAAAAATTAAAAAAAGAAATAATACATTAATTACATAATTTTTTGACATAATATCTAAAAAATTATTAAATTATTTAAATAAATTTAAATATTTTTATTACATTTAATTAAGTTTTTATATTTTTATTTTAAATCAAATAAGCTTTTATAACTAATAATTGATTTTAGTTAAAATATTCGTTATCATTGTATATCACATGATGTTGATGTGATACTAATGTGGTATGTTAACGTGCTATAATGGATGATAACATAATCTTATGATATGTTATAACATGACTATATAACATTTTTCATATTCTATTTTAGTATCACATTAATGCCATTTGGTTTAAAATGACAATGGATATTTTAATTAATAATAATTAGTCAATTATTTATTATAAGGATTTATTTGATTCAAAATAAAAATATAAAAAGTTTAATTGAACACAATAAAAGAATAACAATTCATTTAAAATTTCTTAAATAGTTCATAAACTGTTTTAGCATTATTCCTATTTTTTTTTCAATAAATATCCATCTTAAACGATACCTATGAATACCGATTAATATTTTCATAAAAATAAATACATTATTGAATTGAGATTGTGATTAATTAGAGTTTACTTCAATATCATAAAAGTTATTATACAAATTAGGGTAAGTTTTGGCTTTTAAATTTGTGTAGATTTTACATTAATTTTTTTAAATTAATATCATATGTTTACTAATTATAGTCAATTGGTCATCATAAAAGGGGTAATAAAAGGTTCAATCATCACTAAAAAGGAACATTCATACTTTCTAATTTAATCAAACTTAAGCTAAATTTTCAATCAGTTTCTATTTGTAGAGATATTTTGAAGTCTTAGCATGATTGACAGAGATATTAAATGCAACTTATGGGATAGGATATGAAGGTGTGGATTTTCACTAGCCCACACCAATTTCATATCATTAATTTTTTGACATAGAATTGACATGTAAATATCATTTTTTTTCTTTTATCTCGAATGATATATCTCATGTTAATATCAAGATGTGAATGTGATTATTAAAATTTATATGAAAGTCTAAAATAAACACTAGTGAAAATCCCATGATTTAAGTTTAAAAAATTAATGAATTAGTGACATTTAAACTCGAGTAATTACAATGATATTATATTCATATATATAAATATGACATTATTATCATTACATTTATTATAAATAAATTTATCCATAATGAGACTTGAATCTGAAATATTGAAGTTATAAGTCTTTTTCTTGCCATTGAGACAAGACATGTAAAATATTGGAATGTCATCCTGTAAAGATTTAAGAATAACAGTTTAATCTTATTTAATCGGGTTAAATTATACCGGTTGTCTAAATATAAAATATCTATTGACATCTCTAGTTAAAAAATTTACGCGGAAAAATTCTAATCTGTGGGGCAAAAAGGCAAGTGGGGGAAAAACCCTTTTCAATCAGTCATCACTCATCATGTTGAGGGATAAAGAAGAAGAAGAAGAGATAATGCTTGTGTTATGGTATAACAATACAAGAATGATCTATTTAATGGAGTGTGTACGAAGTATTCTGAATAAAATACAAAGGAAACCCATTGCTTTGAATGGGAGAAATTTTCATTCTTGGCCGACCAGAAATGGTTTATGGATGTCTGACTGTAAAAATCTTAGGTGATGAGATGGGCTAAAGCTTCATGGCCATTGAATTTCTATATGTACCATAACCACACTAATCTTCACAAAAAAATAGAGCAAGTTGTAGGAGGGAATGAAAGAATTGAGTGACTTGGAAGTCTTGTTTCCTCCACTACTACTCGTGGGGCTTCGGCTTTCCAAGGGTTTCCACTTGATTTTTAGTCCTTTTTATTATCTATACATTACCTAATACTTTGAAATACTTCGAAATTATTGAAAATTAGTATAACTGAATAACATGAAAATGAATTATCATTAAATTAAATTCGAATCTTTGATCATTTAAGTTGATAGGGATGACTTTATCAATTGAGTCATCCTATCATTTGGACAATGAATTTCGTTTTAATTTAATTAAATTTCAATTTAATAGTTTTGATAAGAGAAACATGCCTATAAAAAGACACTAATGGGTGACTTAAGAAGCTGTTTTTTTTTTTTTTCTCTCACTTTCTACATGCTAGTTTAAAGTCAACATTTCCTTTTTGTTTTTTTTTTTAATACGTATTGTGTTGAAATAAATGAAACCTTAAAATAGAATGTTAGGTTAACAACTTGGATTCTTTATCAAAAAAATCATAGATAAAGATATTACTAGTGGAGTGGAGAAAGTGGGGTGAGTTGTTGATCACTTTGCTATCACTTTTTCTTCCTCATCCCATCCCCATCAATCCTTCTTCTCTTCTGTTTTCTTATTGGTATCTTGTGCTAATGCTTCTAACTAGCTAGTTGCTCCATAGATCCTATGTTCTTATCTATATGGAGAAGAAATCATGTAAAGAAAGGGTATTTTTATTTATAAAAATGGTATTTCAAGCTTGAAATACAGTATGAAAAAAATTAAAAATACTTTTTTATTTTTCGGATTGTTTTATCGGGACGGTGGTTTGAAATTTTTGATCTTTATACGAACCTGATAACAAATGGTAATGGACAAATGGTAAGTGCCCCATAAAGTAAATTGTGCAATAGATTGATGCCAAAGCAATTTGGAAATCAACATTGATATATATATATATATATATATATATATATATATATATTTATGCTCATTCCATTTATTGGAAGATGCTTTAGAAGTTTCTTATCCTTCATGATAATATTGCGTTCTCACTTGAGGGGCCCGATTGCTTGTAGTTGTAGTGAATTGACAGTGAAGGAATCCAAACATATGCAAAAATCATTTATTTTTCCAATAAATGTTGAGTGTATAATCAAATAGATGCTTTTGGTTTCCCCTTGCTTAATATATAAGAAGCTATAGGGAACTAAGTATAGCAATGCTGTATCTCCTAGTTTTGGAAAGATTTTCCATTTTGGGGTGAAATGAGTGGTTGCCATTTGTGGATACAAAGTTTTGGGGCTTAGCTAGCTGATTGATAGCCTGCAGAAGAATCATAGGGAGCAGACAAGAAGTTTTTATCCTATTCCTATATTAGATACCTTTTGTTTGTTTATATGTAATTCAATGCCTTAAATCTGATATCCATGTCTTGATACTAGGTTGTTGGTGTACCAAAATCAAAAGGTTATGGTCAGCAAAAGATACCTTGGAGATGGAAAGATCATGTCATCCCACTTTGAAATTTATGATCTCTTTGTGGTGGTGAGAGCAACATGGTTTTCAACTAGATTTTCGAAAGAAAATTTGCTGACGTTTGAAATATCAGAAAGAATTCTACTTCCTCCCATGATTTGCAGAAATGAGAGCTGAGTAAAATTCCTGTTCATTGTTTCCATGTAACTATTGTAGAATATGAACTTTACTGGCATGAGTTTGCTTCAACCCATGGATTAGATGATGATCAAGGTGAAGATATTGAAGCTGTGTCACTAAGAATGACGATAAGATTTGTCCTTGACCCTGTTAAAACTATTCCCGGACAATGCACTTTAGGATCCAAAGGCAGCTCTGTCTCAAAGTTCTTATCTTCTGTTGGCAGACGACGCTAGCTGGTTGAACCAAACCAGAATAAACAAAAGAAATCCATTGCATGAGTACCTTCTGGTGTATATGTCATTAAAGGATAATGAAATTCAGAAGTCTCTCCTTTCAGGAGAGAGATATGCCTAGTACTTTGGTTTATGTTTTCTCCTGTAGAGCCTAGTCCCTTGTTAGGGTTGAGGATGTTGATCTGTAAAGCAGCAAATCTTACCTTAAAGTCCTGGTTTTGACAACTGTTTGAATTGCCACTGTTACTAACCTGATTCAACATAGACATTAATCTTTGAATATTTGCTTAAGAGTCTTAAAATATTAAAATACCTGAGAATGAGAGCCTAGTAGATGACTGCATCCAACTGAATGATAAAAGGTTCTTCTTTGCTTTACTACAAAATGAGTTTTCCCTTGTCTAAGTGTCAGGAAGGTAAAGCCTGGCAAGCAAGAGAATACTTAACCAAAAACCTTCTGTAGCAACTAATTCCTTTTGTATTTTATTCTCCCTTCCTCTCTTTCTTCCTTTTCCCCCTTTGCAGCTAGAAATTACAAGACCAACCTTTGCATCCTTTGGTTGAATAAGTTCATAAAAATTTAAAAAAGAAGTCCTGTTCTGTAGACGAGCTTGGGCTCGTTTATGATGAGCCTTCTGGAGTAGCTTCCAGGCTTTTGTTGCACATGGGAAGTCCAAGAATCTCCTACCCACACCTTGCTTTGCGAAAACCCAAGGGCCTTCATTTGGATTTCATCGGAAAACAGGTGTGGGTAAAACGTGGGCTACTATATATATATAATAGAACTGTTGAAAATCCAATTTAGGATGCTCTTATTATTCTATTACTTCGACGAGTGCGTGTTGCCCCAGGCTTCTTCCAGTTTCGAAGAAGATGAAGGAAAGAAAAACAAATACAACCGACAACTATTCCAAACCCAAGCGGTTGCAAGGTTTTCAAATTTTAGATTCCCTTTTCCCCGTCCATCTTGGCACTTTCTGTGATAACTGGCTTTTTCTGCGCAAGCCATGAAGCTACGGTATCAATAGGAAAAACCCTGATTTGATAATCTGTTTTTTCCTGCTAGTTTGAGTCAGTGAATCTCTGTATAGTCACTCACCTTATCCTCTTGGGTTACCTTGTTTACCATAGGAACTATGCTACCTCTTTCCCATGGATCAGCAAAGAACCATTCTGTTGTTGTTCGGGCACCATCATGATCCTACTAATCATACTTAAGTAGTAATAATATTCTCAGAAGGGATGATTATCAAAGAGGGGGCAATTGCCTCAAGGGAAACAAGAGTGGGATGCAATCTGACCTACACTTTGGAGCTGTTTGTGCACTGACCATCACTTTAGTCAATCAAGCAGTTTTCTCTTTAGACTTAATGCTTTTGTTATCATTAGAAATGCAACCTATCAGTAATTCAAGTCCAGCAATTAAAACAGAAACCAAGTTTTCCATATGATAAATTCACCATGAAAACTATCTTTTCTCACCGGTGTAGCTTGGTGAAGCATTTTCTGCTTCCAATCTCCTGTGGTTTCCCCTTTCCATATTGCTTGGCAATGCTATGCACTGGGTTAAGTCATGTCAACCAAGTGGACGGCTTGGTGCTGGATGTACCATTTCATCAGAAATGATGTGCTTGAATTATTTGAAGGAATATTTCTGCATGATTTTACTTTGTCTCTATCAATCATGCTGTGGGGTCTTGGACAAAGATGTGCCATACTTAGATTTCTAGAAATTGGCCTTCATTTAATGAGGCAATTTCGATATTTACTGTCCTGGTGAAGAAGGCAATCATGTCTACCACATATAGGGGATGTGCTGCATTATAAACCAGATAGGTGGAGAACTTTGTGAACTCTTAGCTGCAAGATGAACCTAGAATTTGCTCCATTAATGTATTTACAAGCCCTTATTCGTTTTAGGGAATAAAAAAAGACAATAAATGCAACAAGTTTGTAGTTCTACATATCGGATTCTTCAGCTCTTTAACCAGCAAGGCTTCTCACTTCCTCAACCTTCGTAAATGTGGTAGCTCTTGAAGGATGTCTGGTCTTCATTGTGATTGTGACATGTAATCTTGATAAGAATATCAAGAATTTGAGTAACTGGGATTATGATATCTCATCCAATATAAGATCTGAAAGTGATTTTAATAATTCGAGTCCTAACATTAGTGGTTTATCAATTTTTGAAGATCACGTAATTTAGATTCGAAAAATTGCTGATCAAGAAATTACAGTAAGATAAGCATCAACAGGGCTCGAAATAGCTACATGAATTACCACTGAACTGAACCAAAACAAGAGGTCCAGCTCCAAGGCTACAAACAGTGATTTAGTGGCGGGTCTTAATCAAGTGAATATGTATGACTGTGTGTGCTTGTCTTTGTCGCCTCTTTTTCTTTTTTTTTTTGTTTCTCTCCTTTGCTTTACTGATGCAATTTACTGATTGATATGTTGGGAACAACATTCAACTGTCATTTGAACATGTGATGTTTCATGCTTGTTATTTTCTCGTCATAAAAGACTATAATCAATCACCCCAGCTCATATGGGGAGAGGATAAATTTGATCTGTGACATATTGCTAACATCATTTTCAGGTTTGCGATACTGTCCTTGACATAATATTTCAGCTGAAAAATTTTCCATTATTCTTTAGTTGGATGGCGACTAGTTCCTTTTGTTTCTCTTTTCTAGATTCCAGAGGCCACATTCTTCTCATCTTCTTCCATGCTTTAGGATTTATCAGATCTCTTCTGATGGGTCCCTTAAAAGAATAATAATTGATGAGAGCACCTTTGTTTGTGTGACTTTTGATTCACTGGACCTTCTGCTACTGACCTAAAAATACCAGGGGGCCGGCTGGCATCATCCCAGAATCTCCTTTACTTGTTATGGAATATATTAAAGCAAGAAAGGAGGTTCAAGTACAGCAGCTGGTTAAAGAGAAAGGTACTTCAATAACTCTTCTATCTTTCCTTGTTTTTCAAACATTCGGGCCACATATCATAAAAACCTGTCTGATAAATTTTTATTCCTTTCTTTTGAATATGAACTATGAGCTTGCCACTTAGGAATTATAGTTCCAGAGGGAAGAAGCTGATGCTTGCTTAGGAAGAACCCTTCTTTGGTGTGAAGATGGACCCCACCACTCGTTGGTCCACCATTTTGATTTCATTGTTAAATTTCTTTTGTTGAGCAGAAGGATGACAGTAACAATCTGATCAGTGGACCTTCCACTCTATGCTTACTGATTTGTATCCAACTAACAGTATATTAAAATTGTAGTAAGTCAACCGCTTGGGATCTTTTCATTGGTAAAGGCATGTATTCAAGCAAATCCTGGAGAAAACGTTGTACATATCCTCTCACTTCTTTAATTAATTGAAGCAGCCTAGTTGCCTGATTTAAATAACACTTGGCATCTAATCTTCCTTAACCTTTGAATCCTGGAAAATGGTTTATCAATTTAGCAGACCAACTGAATGTATGGCACTTAGATGGCAATACTTTGGAGGTTCAATTATTGGGTTTTGATTCCGAGTAATTTTAACTCTTGACCGCAGCCCAAGAAATCTGAAAGATTAATCTGATTCAATTGACTTTTATGATTTGTTGTTGGCCATTGTGGCTTCCCTTTTTCTTTGCATGGAATTTCTTTCCTTCAAGTCTGCTTGGATATGGATCAAAGATTTAAAGCTAACAATCTCTTTGGGAACATGTTTCTTTATAGGACTTTTAGCAGAATGAGTCCTGTTGATTGCTTTCATACTAAGAGAAAGTGTGCATCGATAAACTATGTGGAGCTTTTTGTCATTTCATTGTGTTTGCATTTGCCAGAGATAAGAAAAGGGGAGGGTTTGATTTCGTCTCCTCTCGTGTGACATGTGCCATGGGATGGCAGCTCTATTCCTTTGAACCACCACTCCAGGATACCCTGATTCAAGTTTAGCCATTGTGTTAATGATTGTGGAATCCTTGTCTAAAATTTCTGGTTTATTTTTTAGCTTACCACAACCTGAGGGTAAACTTCAGCTCTGCTGAAGTTGCATCTTGTGCAGTCACTTGGAATAAGCCTTTTCCCACCTTTTTGTTTGAGCTTATCATCATCATCATCAGGAAAGCAAGCAAAAACCTGATGCAAAAATTTTTGGACAGGGTTCAAAACATTGGGTGGGGATTAAACCAATCAACACACAATACAGAAAACTACTCTGTCCCAAAAGATTTTGTCAAGAAGTTATTATGTCTGTGTGCCTGGCCTACACCTGATCTGATAATATTGAATTTTACTTCCGATGCCACTTGCATGGTATTGATAGATCTCTTGATGAGGTAAAAACTCAAGTTGCAAATAGAGTCAGTATGTCAAGCTGTCTGCCTTAATGACAGTCTGTATAAAAAGACCAGGGACCTGAGATTCTCCTGTAATGGGATAACCTTACAGAATAGTGTCTCCTTTTGGTTCAATTTCCAGGGAAAGAATTTATAGTATGGGGTTGTTTTCACACCCTAGTTGTGTTTCTGTTATCTACAAGATGGCCTGATTTGATACACTTTTTCTAGAGTACTTTCTTTATAAGCAAAATAGAGTCAGCTGGGTCCAAAAATCTAATATTAGATTCTTTGATTCCTTCATCTATACAAAGAACAAAAAGAATCTGCCAGTCACACCACACCCTCCTCAAAAAGAAAATTTAAAAATAAATGAAAGGAAAGAAAAATTATAGAAAGAGATATTTGGTTTTCCCTTTCAGTCACCTAAAGGAAATAAGTATCCATTCTAGCCTTCCCTGTCAATTTAGTTTTTCTCACTACCTCATAGTGTTAGGAAAGTTGCATCCATTATTCATCATGGTGGGGCTACCTAACTCAGCAAGGGAATCAAGCAGGGAGAGAGAGAGAGAGAGAGAGAGAGAGAGAGAGAGAGAGAAGAGAAATGTGTTGTGCCTGAAGTGTGAAGGGAGGGGGGGAATGGGAAAACAGCAAGATAAAAACAAACCATGCACTTTTCCTCTTTTCTCTCCTTTTGAGACTCAAAATTGAACTGTGTTGCTTTCTCTGTTTTTGCTGCATCAGAGATTCTCTCCAACCCCTCCTTTCAAGTCAAAGAAGAAAGAAGAAATTTTTAAAAAAAATAAAAGGAAAAAAAATAAAAGAAAAAGTTAGTTTGAAATGGGAGAAGAGAGAAAGGAGGAGCCACAGCTCATGGCATATATTCCCTCCCCAATACAACCCCACCTATGTTTCCAGATATGGAGTGAGATCATAGGACAGCCCAACAACTCCAAAATTATAAAGAGAACTACAGCTGCCTCATAGCTCAAGAAAAAAAAGGAAAAAAGAGGGGATCAAAACCCACATGAGTTTCACTTCTCTGCCTGTCTCTCTTACACAACACAGAAAAACATGGGTCTGCAAAATTTGCAAAATCAAAACATGAGTTTGGTTCTGTCAACTGATGCAAAGCCTAGGCTGAAGTGGACTCCTGAACTTCATCAAAGATTTGTTGAAGCTGTCAATCAACTTGGAGGGGCAGACAGTTAAGTAATACATTTAAATAAAACATAATCATGATCATTTTCATCTTAATCATATTGTTATTAGTATATGTTAACATTTTTTCATGTTTCTTTGTGTTTTATTTGTCGACAGAAGCAACACCCAAGAGTCTGATGAGGGTCATGGGAATTTCTGGACTCACTTTGTATCATCTTAAAAGCCATTTACAGGCAATTACTCTTCACTATGTAATTGTATCAACTTTCTCTACTCTAACCAAATAGAAAAAATAAAAAAATAAAACAAGCTTTAACTGTATTTTACTCTAGCAGAAATACAGGCTGGGGAAAAGCCAACAAACAGAAATCTGCCTTAGCAATAAACAAGATGGTGAGATTAAGAACTCATTGCTTGTTGCATTTAAATTCTTATATTGGGTTTTAACCACAATATAATCTTTTTCTCTTTCCTTTTTATTCTCGTGATACAGATTACAGAGAGATACAGAGCAGTAATGGGGATTTCCATAGTGATATAAGTGATGAAACTCACAAGCAGATGAATGAGTAATAGTTACACATGGATCCTATATCTTTTTTCTTTTGTTTAATATTTGGGTGAAAATGCTAATAAAACAGATTGTATTGACTTTCTAATTGTTGTGTTCATCAGAAGCTTGCAGATTGCTCAGGCTCTCCAAATGCAGATGGAGGTGCAGAGAAAACTTCATGAACAGATTGAGGTATGGCCTGTTAAAAGGATCCTAATTTTAAAGCTTCTTTTGTGTTGGTGCATCAATGCATATCAATCAGGCTATTTCTCCATTTTCAGGTCCAGAGACATTTACAGCTAAGAATTGAAGCTCAAGGAAAGTACTTACAATCAGTATTAAAAAAAGCACAAGAAACACTGGCTGGGTATAGCTCCTCTTCTGTTGGTGTGGAACTTGCTAAGGCTCAGCTCTCTCAACTAGTCTCACTGGTTAACACCGGCTGCACAAGTTCTTCATTCTCAGAATTGACAGAAGGAGGAGGTTCAAGCTTAAAAATAGAAAGAAAGCCAATGAGAGGTACTATATGTTCCATGGAGAGCTCATTGACGTCTTCTGAGAGCTCTGGCCGAAAGGATGAGGAGCCACCAAAAAATGACAACATTAGCACTCCGAAGTCTAATGCTTCTGTTGAACTTTCCTTAATGGACAGTCACCCAGAAAAGAAGCCATTGATAGGTGGTTCAAGCAATCAAGCTAAAGGAAAGAAAAGAAGTGGGAGTAACATTTCTGATCGTACATGCGTTGAGCAACCACTAGCTAAAAGATTAGAACTTCCTGAGGAGGAAACTGGTCATTGGTTAAGAAAGTCTGGATTGTTGGGATCATTTGATCTCAACAGCCAATGCCAGAGTGACATTGAATTGGGTCCAAAAGCAATAGACTTGAACTGCAGGGAATAGATCAGCTAAATGGGCATGGTTTGGAACCTTTATCCTTGGTGGCTGTCAGTAATCTAGTCTAAGCTGCAAACTTGATTGTTTAGAACCAATCTTTTGTTCATAAACTATGTATATTGTTATATGTATCGAACTCCAAGAACTTTTGAAAGAAATATTGATATCAAAAGAAGGTATAATGTATATTTTGTAGATACGACTCTTCCTTTATCCTTTCTCTTTCTTTCTAACTTTCGAAACTGACTGATGCTAATAGCAAAGGTCCCTGCTAAAATTGGTTGAAGTTGGTTCCAAGACTCAAATTTCTGATGATCAAGTCAATCAACAGTGTCTTCCAGGGAATATGGCTACTAGTGATCAGCAAGTTACCATGAATCATGTAACTTCTTGGAAGTGTTCATTATATTTGTTGACAGATAGTCAGGCAACGGTACTTTAAGCCCTTCTTTTTTCATTTTTTCATTTAATGTTTCATATTGAAAGAGAAAAAGCAAATGGCTAAACAAAACTTGAAGGAGCAGAAATCATCATAGCCGCAGAATCATTTTGCAAGTTTCCAACAAAACAAGAGCAAATCATTAGGCAAACCATGCTCATAGTGCCAATCAACTTCCATCAATTTATACCGTTAGGCCCGAGAGACTCAAATGATTATGGAGCCCGGACACGCTTAATATAAATTATCCACTAATCCTTCTTAAGCCAGAGCTAAGAAATGGAAGCATCAAAAACTTGGTTTCAAAGAACCATTGGAAGCCACAGGCTTCTCAAAGCCTTTATCTTTCTGCTTATTGACATGTCTTTGTGTTATCCCTCAGAGCCTCAAGGTATGCCACTGCCCGAAGAGGTGTTTCTTTTACTATCACCATTTCCATTTTTGGAAGCCTTAAAAGGCTTAAACATTGATAATGTTATTAACTTTCTTCATTGTAGGAGAACTTCCTTATGTGACCTCAGATGTGAAAGAAGTCGGAGGTAAATCCTTTGATTACATTGTTGTAGGTGGAGGCACTGCTGGCTGCCCTCTGGCAGCAACCCTGTCCGAGAAATTCTCAGTGCTGTTGGTAGAACGAGGCGGATCACCTTATGGCAATCCCTTGGTGTTGGATAAGAGGTTTTATGGTTTCTCATTGATTCAGACAGATGAATTTTCATCAGTTGCACAAGACTTCATATCTGCCGACGGTGTTAGGAACTGCAGAGGAAGAGTACTTGGAGGATCTTCAGCAATAAATGGCGGGTTTTACAGTCGAGCTAGCAAGGATTTTGTCAACAGTGTCGGCTGGGATGAGGAGTTAGTTAAGGATGCTTATGCATGGGTGGAATCTAGAATAGTCTCCACACCTGAGTTGACACCATGGCAGACTGTTGTTGAATTTGCCCTTCTTGAAGCTGGAATTCTACCTTACAATGGATTTAGCTTAGAACACATTGAGGGAACAAAGATTGGTGGAAGTATATTCGATATATGGGGCACAAGACACACCTCAGCTGACCTGCTAAAGGCAGCAAATCCCAAAAACATAGTAGTTCTTTTGAATGCAACAGTGAAAAGCATCATCTTCCATAGCAATGGTAGGGGAAAATTAGATGGGTAACAGCTCTCTCAACATAGATATAGGGCTATCACTACCTTCAACTATTGCATATATCTGACTCTTTTAAATATGTGCAGGCAATGCAAGTACGACAGCAGTCCATGGCATAAGGTTCATAAAGAGTGATGGCAGCACAGATCAAACATATGAAGCCTATCTCAATCAACCAAAGAATTCTACTTCATCAGGCGATGTGATTTTGTCAGCTGGGGCATTAGGTAGCCCCCAAATCCTATTATTAAGTGGTATTGGACCCCATAAACACCTCAAGAACTTCAACATCCCACATGTTCTAAGCTTGAAAGGAGTTGGAAAAGGAATGAAAGATAACCCTTGCATTGCTGTTTTGGTAGACACAGATCCACAAAGTCGGCAACCAGAGCCCCCTCAAGTTACAGGGATTGCAAAAGACTTCAAGTACATAGTTGAAGGAGGAATTATACCTACTAGCTTCAACGCAACAAGAATGCCAATAGCTGCCAAGATTGCTTTTCCAGTATCAGAAGGGAAGCTTACACTAAATAGCACTGACCCTAGGCAAAACCCTTCAGTGAAATTCAACTATCTTGCAGAAGAAAAGGACTTGGAGGACTGTGCAAACATGGTAAGTTTGCTTGAACGAGTAGCAAAGTCTCAATCAGTTACCTTTTACCTTGGTGTTAAACATCAAAATAACTTGATGGCTAGCACCGATGAGCAAAGAAAATTCTGCAAAGAGAATGTGAAGACCTACTTCCACTACCATGGGGGTTGCACCGTTGGGTCGGTTGTGGACGATGACTACAAGGTTTATGGAGTTAAGGGATTGAGAGTTGTGGATGGCTCAACTTTCCTGGAATCACCAGGCACAAATCCAATGGCGACCCTCTTAATGCTAGGAAGATATCAGGGGATTAAAATCCTGAGAGAAAGGGAAAATTTTTCTTCTTCATTCAGTACTCAACAAAGCCCTTAATAATTCTATATTTGTACTACTGACAACAAATGCATACTTAGCTAAATAAAATTAATTATCATGCTTACTTCTTTTATTACACAATCACCTTGAATCACATTTTTTCCCTGGATAATTCTTAGATGCAAGAAAGTAGAATCTATGTGAGAACAAATTTGTATGGGATTGTACTGATAAAAATAATTTATTGATACTCATCAGCATATCTTAGGAAAAGACAAGTGTCTCTATGTACATGATTTTCCCACAAAGATGAAAAAAATAAGAGAAAACTGAAATGAATGGCAACACAAAAATATTAAAAAAAAAAAAATCTTACACAATTCTTCTAACCCTCCATTTCATGATCATCAGGCCTAGGACTTAAAGAGGAGACATCATTAGAATCAGTTGAAGGAACTTGATTAGAATCTCCACTTCTCCTATCACTATTAAAAGAAAAACTAACCCAAACCTCCCTCCCAAATCTTCTCCTTTCCTCATCTCTCTTGTTGCCCATCTCTTGTTCATCAACAGGCATGTTGTACCTGCAAATAGGGCAAGACCCATGAATCCCAAGCCACTTTTCTATACACTCTCCATGAAACTTGTGCTTACAGGGCATCTCCTTTGCCACCTCACCAGGCCTCCACTCTTCCAAGCAAACCACACACTCTCCATCTTCACTTTCACCAATTTCCACACTTGGCATGGCCTCTATGGATGTCTTTGAAGCAGGTGGCTGGCCATCCTTGTTTACCCAGCTTCGTAGCAAAGCTTCCAAATTTGAAGCTCCATCAATCACCACCATGCCTTGAGTGAATGGATTTATAAGGATTATTCTTTCACGCTGGGAAGTTGTTTCAAGGGGTGATTCTTGATCTGGGTCTTCAGGGTTTTCTCTTGAAACATTATTGTTAGAGTTGTTGCTGGAGAATCCCAAGACAAAAGGTAGAAACAAATAGAGGTCCCTGTGCCTCAACAACCTTTCAAACAAAGAAGAAATTTCAGGTGCTTCTGTTTCAGAAGCCATGGAAACTTTAGAGTTTCCGGACAAAAGGAGAAGCTTTGGAGGAAGTAAAGACCTTGAAGAAAGCAAAAAAGACCCGTCCAGTCCAATAAATCAATGAATGAAACAGAAGAGATTGGTCTGGGAGATATAATAAGGATGTTGGTGGCAGTGGCGTCGGGAGCCCACAGAACTGAGATTGGTAAAGGCTGTAGAAGGATCTGGAATGTTGATTATGCAAATATTGTTTCAATATTTCTCTTACAAGACATGTTGAGTGAATTGTCAGTTGATGACTCTGATGATATTAAATTGTTTTTTTTTCAATGATGTTTATCTCTTCTCACCTAACAAAGACGAGTCATTTTCAGTTGAGAGAAGATATTTTTATAGGAGGGAGCAGATGTCGATGCAACTGTATGTGCTGATACCAAACTATGTCTCTGTGCCATTTGTCTGGTTGTCCACCTTCTCTTTGTTATTTCCCCTTTGACAAAAGGACAGTTTTTGTGTTTGCGAAGCAATTTTGACGCTTTCCCAATTGAGCCTGCAATAAAGTTTTGCTTTTCAGAAATTATAAAAGATTCTTCGTGAATGATCCAGATTTTAAGCTATTGGTTTGGCACATTGATTATAGAGTTTCCTAAACTTTTCTTTGTTTTGTTTTACTTTGACCCGTTCAATAGTTTAGCCTTAAATTTGTACTTGCATGAATATCATAAATTATTGGTAATTAAATTATTGTGTGCTACCACATGATTGGGGTTAGTGTCAAAGAAATGATGGTTGTATGCTAATAAGCCTTTGAGAGTAAGGTAAGAAAAGGAGGCTCATTTTCAGCACAAAACCAAAGTCAATTGCTTTAAAAAAGTGGTTTTTCAAGCCATAATTGGAGGGTTTTTTCTTCTTTCGGTGCAAGAAGGAACCTTCTCATTGCATAATCATTGTCAGGAATTTGTTTCTTGAAGCTACATAAACTGAGTTGAAAGTTTATACCTTTACTGGTTTAGTAAAATGTTTTCATGAACTCTAATTGTTTGTGGAAATGTGTAGCTGAAACACGTGATGCAACCTGCAGTAACCTTGTTGGTCAAAAATTCCTCAATGGGATTTTTGTCACCTTGTCCATAACATGATTCAGTTATACTTGCAGCTGAGCTGGGTGATTATAAGTCTATCAGGTTTTCAACTCAGTTTCTTGTTAGCTCCTGGGGAACTGACATGTTTCAAGAACTGATAAGAATGGGATTTACGTCACCTTTTTCATGACATGATTCAGTTATATTTGCAGGTGAGCTGGGTAATGTTAGTCAATCAGGTATCTATCAGGTTCTTGTTTGCTTCTGGGGGACTGACACGATTCAAGACCTAAAAAGAATGGCTTTGGCAAATGCTCCTGCACTACAGTTCAAGACTTGTGATGTTTTTGGTTCCAATTCAAAATGTTTAAACTTCCTTCCCTTACAGAACAGAAGTAAGTTCAAACAAAATTCCCCCTTAATTATGTTACTATTGTTTCTTCATCTGGGTCTGATGATCTGGACATGTGGTTCAGTCAATGTTCTGCAAGCATGGATTATCATTTCTAATTTTTGCATGCATTTTCGAGTTCTGGGTTGAATGTAAAATCAAGTGATTTGTGCATAGATCTTTTTGTGAAGACTTTAGTCGTTGAAGCAAAGGCAAATACTAGAACAGAAAGCGCAAAAATTAGGAACAGAAGAATGCGAAAGAAGGTATGCCTTTTTTTCCTATTAAGATGCAATGGTTAGGACATGTCTATTTGTGATATCTCGTTTTGCATCGGATATAAATGTAATTGTTAAGACTTATATTATCATTCAAGTCCATCACTATTAGTAACTTAAGTTTAAATTTTTAAGAATCATGTGATGTAAGTCTGAATTGTTATGATTGATAAAATACTATATGCGAGTCTAGTGTAGGTATCCACAAGTTTTGAGGATTATGTAATTTAAATCCAAAACATTATTAGGTCAATGGTGTTTAGGTTTGAGTGGCGATAGTATTTATTCTTTTATAATTCATTCAAGGCCCAATAAAGTTCGTTGAATCATTGTCTATGTTTCTTGAAACGAATTTCATGAGTTTTTTTGCGTGCTTATCAGAGTCATTATATTTCCAATGTTATTGCTAGTTTAATGGCAACCCTAGAAGACCAAGACTGTCAGTATTCTGTTCAGACAAGCAGTTATATGCTATGTTGGTGGATGACAAAAACAAGAAGTGTTTATTTTACGGAAGCACCTTGCAGAAATCTATTCGCGACGATCCCCCTTGCACCACCATTGTAAGTAACTCTCATAAGGTTTTTGGAGATTTGAAACTTCGTACTTACGGAGAGAAATCTGGGCCTTAGATCACTGTCTGGGGCTTACAAGTATATTTCTGTTTCCTCTTGTATTTTTCAGGAAGCTGCTAAACGTGTTGGCGAAGAGCTTGTCAAAGCTTGTGTTGATCTTAACATAAACGAAATATCATATTATGATCGCAATGGATTTGCCCGTGGCGAAAGAATGCAAGCCTTCGAGATTGCAGTAGCTCAGCATGGGTTCTTGCCGCGGTAGAAATGAATCCAGGTTTTCTGTTAAACTCTTGTTAGTGATATCAGTAATCAAGCAATGTTTCTCAAATGTAGAAAACTGAGCTTACCTTTTGCAAGATTTGTCAACTGTTAGCACATATTGTATTTATCTTGGTGAAGTCGATTGCCTTTGCTGTTCTATGATATCCTTATCAGTTAAGTTTAAACAACTTATATCTGATTACCTTTCATCGAAAAGAACAATCTGAAAGGCCACGAAATCATACACATAGACAAATGCAATAGTCGAAGCAACATTGCTACTTGTAATGAATGTCAAAATTTGCTATATTTATCATAAACAAAAATTCTGGCACAGCTGATATTTGGCTGACCAGCATAATACCCTGAGACAAAATACAATAGGAACACATAGAACAGTGTCAAAAGAGAAGAGTGGAGTGTACATCAGATCAGACTTGGGTAAACCCTGCAATTTCCTACCACTATAGCTATTCCCTATACAAGGCATCGGTCTACCATTTCTGGCAAGAATTTCAGTTTTTCTCAACTAAACATGTATGCGCTACAAAAATATTGCTAATTATACAACAACAATTACTAACCCCATCCACCTATAGTTAAAAAAGTTTATAAGAAATAAAAGGAAAAAAAGAAGATAAAAATACCTCTCCTTTTGTCTGAATTTGCTCCAACCAGATCAATCAGATCAGCAAGGACTGATTCCTTTCTCTCGTCATGTTAAAGTTAGCACCCGGGAAAGTGCTGGTTATGAAACGTGACTGTTGATATTTGATTGCCAAATCCTCAAGTGTCAGCCTATACTTATGGATCACCACAACATCTAGCTCTTTTAGTCTCCTGGAGTTTCTGCCACAAACACATCATCTCTCTTGGACCTTGATAATGGGCAATAACATAACCGTCCTTGCAACCCTCATTAAAGATCCTCTCTTCCTTCTCATACCTAACTTCTAAACCTTCTTTCTTCATGTCAGCGATCCAAATACCCATTGCCACATCTTCTAGCTTAAACATCTGCTAGACAAGACATTTATTTAATATAGAGAATTATTGACACAAGGGAAGGAATGAACAAATCCTATTCCAATTACCATGCTTCTATATTTTTAACAGTGAATGTAAGTTGCATATTCCAAAACAAAACTAAGAAAAAGAAAGACAAGTAATATTTTCAATGTACCTTTAAACGCCCCTCATTGAACCTCTTATAAACAGCCTCTGCTATGTCGTGGGACACCACATAACCGGGACCATGTGCCCAAGGAGGGTACCTATCTTCAGACCATTCCTTCATTGAACACAGCATTGGGAGAAGATATTAAGAAGCAGAAGACAATTTTTATCCCCTTACAGTTAAATAATGGTGATTTATCGATAACAATGAATGGAATACCTGTGCAGCCTACAACAACACTACAAACAAACTAAATGTTCGTATTACTTTAACTTGAGTTTGAGGGGCCCCTCTAACACCCTTACCATAAAGGTGAGAGGATTATTATGCAGCAGATCTTGCTTTCTCTTTCTTTATTGTGATCATAATGAATGTTGGCTTTATGACCATGATTGCAAGACACAATAAAAATTGATTGAACAAACACAAGATGGAGCTAATCCAAATTAAGAAAAGCTAACGCAGTTTTTTTTCCAATTATTGCTCATAAAAATCATTTCCAATTAACAATGACATTGTGGCAAGTCAGCATTGCTGAAACCATTTGAGCAAATTCAGCGAAATACCTCAGGGCTAATAAACCACTTGCTTTCTGTACTGCGATGAGGCTGGGAATCTGAGTTAATGAGTCCATAAAGCAATCCATGAGTCACATCTATCCTGCTTAACGAAGCAAGTACTTCATCCACACGAACAAATGCATCGTCATCTGTTTTCATGACAAACTTTGCAGAAACAACTTCTGTCTGTTGAAGAGAGGAATTCAATAAGGAAAGGAACAATTTTCCTTATTCAAAGAAAGGGACAAGATTTTACCCCAAAGGTGCAAATGGCCAAAGTTTTCCAGGTGATCAGGCTGTAGTAATCAACAAAAGGCATCAGCTGTATGTCTCCATATGTCTGTGCCTCATTCCAGAGTTCCTCATTCACTATTTGGTTTTTATGCTGCAGAACATCTCCAACTTGGTAAGTAATTCTGTGAGAGGCTTACATAACTATAGGACTTAAAACCAGAAACTCGACAAGAGTTCCAAGAGAGATACAACTACAGAATTTAGCACTGAAACTTTCAGGTGTCTAACTATTTATATTTAAAAAGCTAAGATTGGTGCCCATTGCAGCTGAACAATGAGCATATGACAGTACTTAGGTGTCTGATATGAGTACAAATAAATGCTGTATTAGTGCTGAAGCAACTTGTACTACCGTAGAGCATCATAAGCAACCTATTGGTACAACAATGACCAAAAACAGAGAAACATAATGAATATTGCCCCCAGCACTGGGACCTCTAACAGCATGTACTACTGCTGGCACAAAATCATAAGCAATTTAGTGGTGTAACAATGGCTTGAAAACATGAATTAAGGACCATTTATTATTGAAGTGTAGCATTTGTGGCATCAAAATCATGTATTGCTGGAAGATAATGGTTATTCCTTTTCTATGGTAGAACTACAACTACCAAGCATCAAAATTATAGCAATTCTGTATGAGAGAATTCACTTGGAAACCATACCAAACCAACAAAAAAGCGCACTGCAACTGTCCCAGATCGAACTTCAGGATACTGCATCCATGTTCTTCTCACAGCCATTCTTCGTTTAAAATTGTTGGCGGTAGAGAAAACACCAATAAAGAGCTCCACTGGTCTTTGATGGGAGAGAGCAACTGATTTCAGTTCTTCTAGATCAACTGTATGATCTGAATCCTCTGAAGTGGGTAAACCACTAGCCAGGACAGAAATTAATTTTATGTCTCCAAAAATTCTGACCTCACTAACAAGCCATGGCTCCAATGTCTGAACATAAAAGCAGCCAATAAGCAATTAAGTTCATTGAAACTATTAATTATTTAACAAATTCTGTTAAGTAGAAGGAAGATGACAGAAATTACTTCTCGATAAGCAAAGGATGTCACGTGCTTTCCATCAACTGTCATCTGTATTCCCTCTGATCCTACTCTAAGAGTTGCAACGAAAAGTGAACCTTGCTTAAAAGGAAAATATCTTCTAGATTTAATCCCTTCCAGCCCCATTGAGGACCTCCTTGAACCATGGGAATGCATGCTAACCGTCCTGTTATTATCTTTACCCACCAACTTGTTACACTGGTCCAACTCATCCACTGCAAAAAGAAACTACTAGAGTTACCTCACAAAAAAAGAACATAAAAATAGAAGCAGTAGCACACGCCTCATGGATGCAAACAAGTTAATAAAAAAAAAAGAGAAGAAGAAGAAGGGGAAGCAATTAGAAATTTACATGAAGTTGAAATATTGTCATCCACAGCACCTAATGAAGGTCAAGCATTTCTGTTGCTGAAGCTAGGACAGCTAGCTGTTGATGACTTCAGTATGCAATAGAGTTTCTAGGGAGACAAAGCCTAATGATGTCATCAATAGGTTGAAGAAACTTCTATTTTGAGGAACTATTTAGTCTCTATTAATGTGTTATCGAAAGCAGATGGCAAAATTGCATGATTGATATTGAACAGGTCAAAAGAGTCCTTCAATATGAAGAAAATGTATATATCAACCTAAGGACTGTAAAATGTAAAAGTGGTATACAGACCTTAATTTAATATAACACAAGCTACCAAGATAGATTCTAATTCCTTTCGCACTAAACAAACCAAAAAGATGTGAGAAGTCTTTCTACCTTTTTTATTCTTGTCAGGAGTAGGTGGTGGACAACGCTCCTCTTCACCCCAATCATGAGCTATAGTCCAAGTGTTTTGGACAATTACAGGGTCCTCAGTTACCTTATCCCCATGGAGCCTAACATTGTAATGCAAAATTATTGGTGGATCAGGCTCCCCTGGAAGTGCTTCCCCTGTTAAGTCAATGCGAAAATTACCAAGAAGACCGTTTGGAATACCAATGATTGTAATGGAAGAACCTTGAGTGAGGCCACATGGAACTCTCAATTTATAATGACTTTTATCTGATTCTGTTGCATTCACTTTATTAAGAAAATGGGGACACTGCTTCTCTTTTGTTTTCCTAGTTGAATTATCATCAGTATAACCAAGTTTTTCCGCTTCAATCAAAGCCATCAGGCTATTCCATGCACTTCCAGCTTCCTTGATAGCCTCTACTCCATTTGGCAAAGCTTGAGAATGGTTAATTAAGTTCTTCAACAAATCCCAAGTGAGCAAAGATTCTTGCTCTCCCTTGGAGAGGTTCCTCTGAGCAAAGAGACTGATGGCTATGGTATCAATGGAAATCACTTGAGAAGCAGTCTCTGGATTTTGAACTGCAGGCGGACCCGTAAAACGCACCCATTCAAGTGGATTGGTTCCATTGGAGGAGAAGGGATTTGTCAAGTAGCTTTCTTCAACAGCATTTTTCATGACACCGTATCTCAGGACCAGCAACATAAATAGGGATGCAACTAAAGCACCACCGTACCATTTCTTCATTCTGCTGATTACACAATCCCATCAAAAAGCTATGCAACTTATTCTCATAATGATCAAATTTAAAGAAACCATGTGCCACTAACTGTTAATCACTATTTAAATTGATTTATAAAGTTCTAATGGTAGGCAATTCAATAAAGTCAAGTTGCCAAAGAAGAGGACATATAGTGGTTTGCACTTAAGAGTTACAACAGACCGTCAACAGCCTAAAATTAAATGTTGAAGGCTCATTTTACCTTTTCAGATGGAGGGTATCAGCCTTCATTCTCAACCTGCTGTCTGGCTGAGCCAACTACCAAAATTTGCAAGCATGACCTTCTGGCTTGATGCACAAAAATTCAAGGGTTCTGTAACCATGCAGCAATTTCCTCAAAGATTCTTTGTCATGCATCTGGCATAAGACTATCATGCTGTGACAGAATTTGAAGCAAATTAGTCCATTAGAAAAGGAATCAAAATTTTCCACTGAAATAAGTAAAATATTCATAATACTAACCAAGAGAAAAACAGTCCAACATATCACGCACACAACTCCAGGCAAAGAAGCAAACGAAAATGCAAACCAGGATATCTACTTTTGCTGTTTGCCACCACCCTAATCAACTGTGATAAGCGACACCAATTACCAAGTTCATCCTTAGGCAAGTGCCATACAACTCAAAATACATCAGTATCACCCTTAAAATTTACAGAACACTACAAGAAAATCGTTTGTGAAGCACACAAGAATAAATTAGCAAGAGGTGCCGTAGCTGACCAAGATGCATGAGTCAAATGCATCAAGCTGTGTCATCCCAATTACTCAATTTGTAGGGAGTTGTTAGATTAACTCTTTCAAAGATCATATTATATCTTTTGTTGACTCAAACAGACAAGGAATTTTATCCATTTAAAATTCTGTAGTATAACTGGATAAAACTAGAAGACACCTGTAGCAAGCAGGCAGAACTAAAGCTTATGAGAAAACAAGTCAGTTGACCAATGCTATGGTGGTAGGGACCACAAAATAAAAAACAAACAGCTTATCCTTCACACTTTGCAGCAAATTCCTTAAAAAAAAATCACCAATTCAATAAAAAATCTTTTGCTTATAGTGCAGGAAATGTCATTGCTGTATCTGACTATAGAATTCGCTAAGGCAGGCGGAAAGAGAAAAAAAAAAAGAAAACAGTTGAAAAATCATTACAACTCTGATTGGTAGGCGAGAAAATGTAGGGAAAGAAAGAAAATTTAAATAGAAATAAATCCCGAATTTACGGTTAGTTAAATCTCTAATTCAACATGATCTTTTCCTCACTGGAACTTAGCTTGATTACTACCTTACCTTAATTAAGATGAGCTTAAAACTTCAAAACTTCAAATCTTCAAAAAGAAGAAAATCAAAAATAAAAATCAAGATTCAAAATCTTCCATCAGCTTCCTAATGACTTCAACTTTTCTCGGAAACCAAACTAAAATAAAAAGAATTTCAGCAGACCAAAAGCAAAGCAGTTTCTAGACAGATCCAGGCGCATTGCACTAAATCCAAACTTAAAACAATCAAAATGCCAAAACTAAAAGCAAAAAAATTGAGAAAAAAAAACTAAAACCAAAACATTTCTAAATTTAAAAATTTCAAAAAAAAAACAGAAAGAACTTTTTAAGCAAAGATGAAGAAAAACCGGTTCCAGTCAAGTCGGCGACGGAAACTTACCGGAGAAGAGAAGAGAATTCGGAGAGAGAGAGAAAGCGTTCGGATCTCTGTCGTTTTGGTCTTTCTTTTCCGAGCTCCCAAGTCGTTTGAGCGCAACGGTGGGAAATAAAACCGTTTTCCTGGCCTTCAAAGTAAAATAAACAACAGAGATTTGTGTTGTTGACTTGCCTTTTTTGTAAAAAAAAAAAAAAATTATTTTTCTTTTTTATTTTATTTTTCTTACTTTCTAGGTCAGTCGCTACTGGCCTTTTTACTGGGGTCGGCCGATTCGACCTTGACCAGAAAGACTAATGCTAGAGAACCACGTGGCATTTTGTCGGCTGATCCGTTACGTGTCCCGCCGTCGTTGGACTAGATAAAATTGTACCGCATACTGTTTCTCTTTCCTGTCTTTTTCCATTTTTTTCCTTTTTCTTTTTTTAAAATAAAATTAAAATATTTTTATTATTATACAAAAATAAATTTTTACCTAAACAAATCCTTAATCTCAATAAAAAATTAAAAAAATATCAGATCTATTATTGACTAACATTTGCTGTTCATACGACATACATATGGTATGCTTATATTCATCGGCATTAAATTTGATAATTATTAATTTTTTATTATAATTAAATTGATTTTTTAAAAATAAATTTTACTTTTAAAATAAAATTAGGAAAAAAAGGAAGAAAGTAGAGGCAGTAAAGAAAAGAGGAGAGGGGTCTGTCAAGGCGTTCAATGGTAATCATAGGAGAATAAAATAGCGTGAAATGTAAACAAGGATTGAGGAATTTAATAACGTAAGGAGGTAGCTTAATCAATGTGAAAGGAATAGTCTACCCTCTCTGTATGTTGGACAGTACCAAATATTATTACTTCCACATGTTTCTGGTCTTTCACTTTCTTTAATTAGGCTTCAATGCCCAAAAACAACTTTAATACCTAATATTTAGCTTATCATCGCAGACAAAACTGTAATTTTTACAAAAAATTAATTATCATCATATTCGATATTTATTGATAATTTTTATCTACGTAACTTATGATGTAAGTGACGAGCACATTTAATTAAGAATACTTGTAAGATAATATATTATATGTATAAATTATTAATTGACGTTTAATTTGACGTTTTTTCAATTCTCGTTAAGGATTTAATGATGGAGTTAACATTGCAAGGAATCGAATCAATCACCACTTCCTTTGGTCCCCAATTTGTAAATCAAGATGGTGGGATTGGCATCTCAACTATTTGGTACCTCTTCTAACATGAAAATACACTGTCATCTGGTTTGATTCCTGGAACCCATATATTCCCCAGCCAAACTTGTTATAATTACAATTTTTTTTTCGTTTTCTCAATTTGAGAGCTGCTTCAAGTTAGGTACGAAATTTATAAGAGATCTCATTAAATACTTTATATCAGGATATTTTATATAATTATTTGATTTAATTAAGTAAAATTAAAATATTTTATAATTGGGTTTGGATAAAATTTGAAATAGTAAAACTATTACTCAATGAAGTAGTCTAATTTCCTTCTATTGTTTAATATGCCAAATTCTAGAGATTGGTGATTTATAGTTACTTAATTAGACTTTGTCAAAACTTGGGAGTCTGCCAAGAACAGAGATTATTTTATAAACTTCAGGATGATCATTCAGTACAAGACAGCAGGTCTTTTGTCGTTTAGGTTGATTTGTAGATGTTCCATCACGTTTTGCAACTGTTTCTGGTACACCCCAGCCCAAATAATATTTGGGCTGAAGTATTAACAAAACAAAAACTGATAGGCCCTTACAAATAATTGGGCCTAAATTGCTTTCTTATACTGAAGTTATTAAAATATCGTTAGGGTTAATATAAATATATTATTTAAACACAAACAATCATTTTTGTGAAAAAAATCTAAAATTATATATGTTGGTGTAAGATTTGGGGATTTTCAAAAACAACTTGAAGAATAAGCATTCGAAGGCCACGTTTGGATCCATTATTACAAGGCAACTTGAAATTAAATATCTTATTTCATTATTTTAGTGTATTGAAAATAGGGTCAAACATATGATTATTTTTTTTGTTTTGAGCTTAATAATATGATGAATATTGATTTATGAATGATTTGGTTTACTTATATGATGGAAAATTGGATTTTCAAATGATTTGAGTTATACATATGACGAACATTGTTCTATGAATGCTTTGGTTAATTTATGTGACGAATATCAATTTATGAACGAAAGGAAACCTTGATCATCTTTAACGAATGTTTTAAGACCTACGAATAGTCCCTGATAAGTGGGATAATCGACACCAAAACTAGTTCTACAGCCCTGCTAACAGGGATATAATAGTTAACAAACGACCTTGGTAACGGGATATAATAATGAATAACGATCAGAAAAATGATTAGTTGATATGACCCTTATCACGGAATATAATAGCAACAGTAAATAAGATGATGAAAGTTTATGAGTTTGAAGGATTGAATCTATGATTTGTTAGAATGATATTTCAAAAATAATATATGATGATCGATGATTTAAAAACTCATGATGTTATCCATTTTTGTATATAATGATTCTTTAACTGTTTGCAAGCATGATTTAATGAAATGCCTTTAAATGATCTATATGTTATACTGAAAACAATGCTTGATCTGACATGGTGTCTGTGACAATATTTGCTGAGCCGTGGTTTATTCATTCTTTTATTATATTTTGTAAATAATTAAAGATAACAACCTTAAGATCATGGGAATTAAGAGAATAAATTGAGAAGTCTATCTTAGTGTCTAGACATTGTTATCTACTTTGAAATGGATATTAAGTGTAATGGATATTTAAGTTTTTAGATGTTTATTTATTTTTCTTGAAGACTTTAGTCGGATCTTAATCATTAATTATACAAATATATTGGAACAGAATTATTATTATGACTATCAATATGACGAAAGGAAAGGCTTCGTATTACTTTAAGATTTGGTCTCAAGGTAATATGGCCGTATCTTGACTCGGTATTGAGGAGTGACAGTTTCTTTGTGTTGTATCTGACTCTGCTGGGGAGCAGAAAAAGAAGAAAGAAGACGATGATGATGAAGAAGAAGACAACAGTTTTCTTTTGTATTTCCCAGTTAAAAATTATGCTAATTAACCTGAAAAAAAAAACCTTTCCACAATTGGGCACTACCCTTTTATTGCCAACAAGCTGGATGGAAATAAATTGCTGAATAAATTAGTTAAAGAAAAATGGGATTGATAAGACTAAAACTTGGGAAACTGGATGCTTGAACCACATCTAGACCTTGGTAGTAAAGGGCATTTGATGAAATCTGACCCTGAAGTGTCCACACACAAGTAAATCTGATAAAGCTGGCTGTTCCGGGATGAATCAGTGTTGCATTCTATGCCAGGAGTAAAGCCAACAGCTTCTTTTATAGCATCCTCGATGTCCTGCAATTCATAGAATTTATCGTTTGGTTTGATTCCTGCAACACAAACCATTGTTAGAAACAGCCTCATGAATTGTTTCCAAAGCTCCTGGATGTCTCTGATATCAAGCCTGTACCTGCATTTGTCAGGGCTTGGAGGAGGTTAGCCTTCTGTTTCAATTTGAGAGCTGCTTGGAAGTACTCACGTTGGTCAAGCTCAGAATCTGAGCATGTCCCATGTTTTACCCATTCATGTGTCCAGAACTTGGTTCCATCGTTGCTAGGACAGGAAAGGGTCGGCCATTCCTTTTCCAGGGCGCCAATCAGGTCTGAAATCTGTGAAGAAATGGGGTGATTTAAACAGTAAGCAGTATTCTTTAAAGCAACGAAAGACATTTGACCAAATCGAAGCAAGAACAGTTCAATCCAAAGTCGAAAACGTGCTGCTTCCTCGTGGTGAAACATGACAGGGTCGGTGGTCCCAAGCAACATGGAAGCTGACCAAATGCGTATTTATAGCTGTTGTCTCGTGTCTTAAACGTTAATCTAATCTGATATCATCATCGTTTGCAGATCTGAAGCTTAACTTATATTACATGGTAATGATCTCATTGCAGCATAAAGACCACTTGCACCACCCAAGGCCGGTGGGCATGCATGCACAAATCTCCCCCACTAGAGAAAACTAACAAAGAAGATTCTTTTCTTACATCAATCAAGCCTGGGGTTCACATTTTTTCCCTCCAAGTAGATTTGAAACAGAATTCTTGCTCTTTTTCTCAATTTCTTGAGCAAGTGGGTGCCTAAAATTGCTCTTAAAACTTAAAGGCGAAGTCTTTCCTTTATATCCTACCAAAAGCTAAATGAGAATGAGAATTTGGTTCGGAAACTTTTTTTATCAGTGAATAATATGTAATTAATATGTGAAATTTTCTCTTTTTTTCATTACAAAAGATTATTTCTTTGACCGAAAAAATATTTGGTTGAAGAGAATTGATTAAAATTTTTCAATAGAATTTCATCAATTATTGATAATATTTTTTATGAAAATTTAACTTTTTCTAACGAAAAATTTTGATTTTTTTGTAGGGTTATAAGAATCTTTAACACCCCATCTACTATATTTATATATAATAAATGAGGATTAAATTAGTTAGCAACTTGTTATTTAATGTAATGATTATTCAACGCAAGGAAAATACGGATAAAATCAATGAGATAAAGAGTTAGATATTGAATTGATTCCATGATTTTTCATTGAATCAATGATACAAATAGATATATTCGTAAACTTGAATTTATATTTTTTTTCAATTTTGTAATTGTAATTTTGGTCTTAATCAAATAGATAATTCCACTTAAATCTGAAAGCAATTGACCAATGAAGATTTTTACTATTAATTTTTGTCATAATCATATTATTAATCATAATGTTAATTATTTAAATTTCTACCCAACCTCAATTAATGTGTTTTAATTTTTGATAATGACAACGTCAAAACTTAACCCTTACAAAGTTTTCTAGCTTTGGTGTTAATAAATGAAAATCCTTTAAACCACCCAAGAAAAAGAGAGAAAAGAAGCAACACTTTTGCTTTTGCACACACAAAATCTTCCTTCTTCTATACAACACTACATGCGTTGTTTTTTAGTTGTGATATCCATTTATAGCTTTTTTGTATTTTTCAAGTGCTCACATTGTTTCTAGATTAAACTTCCATCACTTTCTTCGATTTAATTACAAAATGATGATAAAAGTTTCGTAATAATTAAATTATGAATATTTTAACTCTCTACGTTTTATGAATTGATTTAAAATTAAATATTCGTTCTAAAAATTTAACACTAATATACCTCAGATTTGTCGAAACGACTATCGGGATCACAATTGGAAGGGTAGCCCCCGTCCTTGTAGTTAGGCCAAAGTCCATGGATGCCAAAATCGGCTGCAGGCTTTCCTGTCTTGGGGTAGCAACAACTATGTTGTTTCGTATCACAATAAGCTCCAGGCCACTGCATGATGATCCCAATATCCAAAAACATGAGCTTGACGAAAAATTCAAGAATTTGAACAAAGGAAAATATTGATATCCCATTGCAAACAAATTGAAACCATCACTTACCTGCTGAACGAAGTAGAAGAAATCAAAATCTTGTGAAACACAAAGAACTGATAGATATTGCAGTACCAAAAGCTTGATAAAGATTGAACATGAGTTGGGTTTCATCTTTCTTGGGATGTTCTTGCTGATCTTTTTGTTTCTCTCTTTCTCACACACACACACAAGTAATAGACAACAACTTTGTAACGGTTAGCTTTGGAGTTAAGAATGAAATTGAAAGTGTTTGCTGGTAGATTGAATTTATAGGCCAAAAAGGGTAGGTTTAGGACAGAAGAATTTACAAGACAGCATATGCTTGTCAATGTATATTACTTTAATGCATTGCTTGCTTGTTTTAAACTTATCTTCAGCCCTTTTTTTTTTTTGCACGATGGCTCTTCTTCCAGGTCTTTGTTTTTGCCCTTTTCCCATTCTGATTTTGATATGTTTCCCTGATCTGGTCTTGGCCAGGAAGCCGCTCTTTTTGTTAATAAATTAAGCACTAATCCATGAGAAAAGAACCTCAGCAATCTACCTATCAGGATTTAGCATTTTGGATTGATGTGCAAGAAATGGTAAGTGCTAAAAGGCTTCAGTCTTGTGTTATTAGGTTGTTGTTTTGGTGCTTAGTTTGTTGGTTTGGACGAAATAATTCAAGGGTGGTAGTCCCATTGCGTGCAAGTCAACAGTCTGATAACACATACACTTGGCCTGTCAAGGCCAAGAGAAAATAAATTGGCATTATTATGCCATTACTCCCCTTTTATATTATTTTGTTTTTCTTGTTTCTCTCTTGGATAAGTTCACATTGAGAAACTGTATGTACCAATCACCAAAGAGCCTTATAGACCTCGTAATGGTGATTATTTTACTTCTACTTAGATGGTTATTGGACCTTGCTTTATCTTGTCGCGCATGCTCTCTTTATATTTTTGCTTGTAGAAGTTCATGAAGCAAATGGAATACTTGGCTTAAAGAAAAATATTACACATAATTGCCAATAATTGCGTAAACTAGACCAAGGAAGCAAGGTCCAAATACCGTGCCAGCTCTGGAACTATATTACCCCTGATTTTGAGCTCTAAAAGGCTAGCTGATCCCTTTGCTTGCATTGTTGTCATTGATCTACATGACAATCCATGTTTTTTCACTTGTTTGCTTCTCAGGTCCAAACTCAAGCCACCGTCCTCTCCATTGTATGCCTAACATTACCAATAATAAATGGTGACTCTTTTTATTTCTTCCCGTCAATAGTTTTTTTTAATATCTTATTTGGTGTCTCTTTCATAATTTTACATCATTTATCTAATTTATTCATTTGAGAACTAATGAATTCATACGGTCCTTGACTCTTTTGTTGGCTCTTTAAAAACTTTGTTTCGATGAATTCTATGTCTAACATGAAAATAAGGTGTGATAGAAGAAGAAGAAGAAATAATTATTCTAGTAATTGCATAAAAGGAAAAGGAGAAAAAGAGTTGATAAATGTTCACATTATGTTAGACAGGTATAGAAGAAGGCACTTTTCCAGGGTAACATAGCCTCTACCTACCCTTGCCTAACTCTAACTGCCTGAAAGCTTCCTATATCTTTAACCTTGTCCTTTGTTTCTCGAAATAGAATTTGCCTAAATAAACTGACCAAAAACAAAGAAATGCAGGCAGGATGGACCCAAAATGGAATCAAACGTCTGATTTATGATACTGATAAACATTTTGTTCTTTCCCCTCCTTAAGGAAATAAACTCAATCCTAGTAAAGCTGGCTGTTTCCCTGATTAATCTGATTTGATACTCTCTAGTTTATCTACCCTAACTGTACCCAGTTTCCTTCATTGACAGCGTCTTTAATGCTCTCCAAGCTGTATGAAACTAATGAACAACGCTGGATTTGTTCCAGCTGTAAGGCTATCACATCATTTTTTGTTTTTCTTGATACTGCTAGGAGGATTGCAGAAGGGTGGATCAATTTACGTGTGGAATTAAATTAGAGTTGTGCAGTTTCTCTTTTTCATTATAATTGCTGCTTGAGCATTGTCTACTAATATTGTATAAATAACTGCATCCTTATCAAACTAATGCCTGGAGAGAATAAGGATATTAGCAATTTTCCTGCTATGCTGTTCATATTTCCAGATTGATTTTCTCATTCCGAATTCTTCATTCAAGTTACTGGAAGACTAAGTCTTGTAAAACCATCACCAAAGCTAGTAGTATTTAGTTAAAATTAAGAGAGCTGTTGATGAAACTAAATAGATTTCACATTAATGAAATTTCAGATATCAAATTCCAAGCACTAGCAGATACAAGGATAAGTTGATAACCAGTAAAATGAGGAATTTAAAGAAATACAAATCCGATATATATCAGAACCTAAAAGGTAGGAAATTCAATCTGTGACCCACATTTTCCTTTAGGAAAAACAGGGCATTCGATGAGGTTTGACCCCGATTTGTCCACGCACAGATACACCTGGTAAAGCTGGCTGTTCCCTGATGAGTCTTCATTGCACTCTATCCATGGCGTATACCCTGTTCCTTCTTTTATAGCATCTCTAATGTCCGATAGGCTGTAAAATTTCCCATTTGGATTAATTCCTGCCACACCCACATTTGTTTTTCTTAGGAAGTACTGTCAGAACAAAGTGCAGAATGTGAATTGGGAGATGTTGTAAGGTATGGATTACCTGCACTTTGAAGACTTTGAAGGAGTTTGGTTTGTTGCTTTAACCCCAGAGTTGTTTCGAAGTAGTCGTGTTGATCAAGGACAGACTCCGAGCAGGTACCATGTTTCTCCCATTCATGAGTCCAGAAGCTTTCTCCATTGCTGCTAGGACAAGATAGTGATGGCCAATTCTTCCTCATGCTACTGATGAGGTCCGAAATCTGCACATTGTCAAACAGGTTTGACTATGTACTGTGTCCACTAAAGAAAAAACTATCAGATAATAAAGGAAGAAACAGCAGCAAATTAGCAAGTTTCCTGCCAAATTTATGGCAAAAAATGGACGGCAAAACGTTTATTCTGTGATTGATGAGTTGTATATGTATTAAATTCTGTGATTGATGAGTTGTACATGCATTAAATGTTCTCTAATCTGTCATAAACTTATGGCCGGCTTGGACTCTTTGGTCTGTCATAATCCGAACAAATCACTGGGAGACAAAACTGGAATCATAAGATCAAGATTGTTCGGATGTTTAAGCACCTCGGATTCATTGAAGGGATTATTAGAATCACAATTCTGAGGGTATGATCCATCGTTGTAGTTAGGCCAAAGCCCATGAATGCCAAAATCGGCTGCAGGCTTCCCTGTTGTAGGGTAGCAACAGCTGCTCTTGTCTGAGTCACAGAACGATCCTGGCCACTGCATGCAGAGAGTAGATTACAATGAGAAATGAACAAAGGAAAATCAAAAGAAACATAGAAAAATAAAAAGATACAAACAATCAAAACCATGCACTCACTTGTTGAACAAGGTAGAAAAAATCAAAATCCTGAGAAACACAAAGAACTGCCAGGTTCTGTAAAACCAAAAGATTGATCAAGACAGAACACTTGGACTTCATCTTTTTTTTTCTCCCTCCTCTCACAGCCTGCTTTCTCTCTCTCTCAACTAATTAATGGTTGATTGGTTTGTAACGTTGATAATAAACCTGTTTTTATAGGCAAAAGTGGAAGGTTGCAGACAAGGAATCGGGAGCCGGATATGCTGAGGTTGTTGTCTGATCCTAAATAAGCACAAGATTGCGTTATGTGTGTAACATTTCTGATATGATTAGAGTGTGTCGGCTCAATGCCTCAATCTGTCCTATGTTCATATTAAACCCCATTCCACAACTTTTTTGGCATGTAAACATGCACTCACCATTTTAACTCACATCTCCTTGTTTTCTCATCTTCTGACCAAATTCTCAGAATCTGGTTGGCCAATAAAATTTTTCTGTCCTCCTTTAATACCTTACGCGATATCCTGTTTATAGTTATGCGTCACATATCCTGTCTTCTATTATCAATCAAAAACCTTTAGCCTGTAGACCTTGAACTCAAAATCGTGATTTCCATGATTGGAACACGTAGGCTACCACATTCACGATTATTCTCAATCAACAAAGTCAGAATAAAAGTCTTGGGTTCATATTTTATTTGAGGCTTTGAAAATTGTGTGGTCCTGGCAAAGCTGCCAATCAATTATTAGTTCGAGAGTACACCATTTTTCTTTCTCCTTCCGCAGCATCAACACCAGCAGTTGCTGCTGTCAGTCATGGATCAAACAAGACCACCGTTCACACTATATGCAGTAAGGGTTTTTCACTTCTCCTTGTCTTCGTCTTCACCAGCACATTTACCTACAAATTTTCCCTTACCGGGGCCGGCTGAGGAGGCCCTTTGTGAACTTGATCATAACCCCAAGGGGAAAGAATCCATAAATGAACATTTACTCGAGTTTCATGGGAAATACCATGTATATATGCTGAATGAATTCAACGGATTATCACAGATTCATGTATTTTAGAATTGTAGTAAATAGGTATATTCAATCAATTTACAAAAATGGTAAGTGATTTGAATTTAGCAAGGGTGAGCAATTAATTAGTTCAATCCATTCAATCCGCTATAATTAAAGATAAAATATATTAAATATTTTTAAAAATCGATCAAAATTGCTTAAACTTAAAAAAGGATTGAATCGGTCAAATATTGAATTAATTCAATTAGTTTGATTTTGGATCAAAAAAATTGAAATTTTATCACTTTTGTATTTTACAAATAACAACATTGAAATTTATAAATTTAATTTATAATTATATTGTTATTGTTTAATTATATTTTATTTATAATCTTTTGCTATTTTGATTAATAGTTTTAATTACTTAATCTCAATTTTATTATATTTAATCTTTACATTTTTATTAAAAATAAGAGTTACCAACAATTGGTAACATTGTGAAAATTTTACCTTTCAACTTTGAAGATATATCATTTTGATGACAGCAGAATTTAATTATAAAATTTTAATATCATTGTCAATTAATCAATTTTGGAAAACATAGAATGCATGCAAATAGTTCATAATTTTTGTAATGGCCATTGGCTACATGCATAATAAAACGATAAAATATAATTATAACAATTACATACAACATGAGATGTTTTTAAATCTAATTTATTAATCAAATAAGAGTAATATAATAATCTGTTTCATCTATAACAACTTATTTGATTTAAAATAAAATAAAAAAATAGAATTTAATTAAACATAATAAAAAATAAAAAAATAAAAATTTATTTAAATTTTCCTTAGATTACGCATTATAACTTTCCTTATTATTACAGGAGAAAAAAAAGTCTAATTAGTTACTAATCCAGCTCAACATCAAGAATGCTATACAACATTAGCTAAGTTTGCCACTGACCAAAAATGGCTTATGGAAGACAAATAACTGGAATCAACCTAGGCAGCTCTTTAGCCCTTGGATGACACAAATCATGGCCAATTAATCTTCAGCTGGAACATTGTAGTAGTTGGCAGTGGTTCTCGAACAAGGAAACATTGAGAGGTTACCAGAAATCGCCACAAGAGCACTTTCCATCTCTGAAGTGATGGAATCGTTGGACATCTCTGAGAATTATCTGCCTATTGAAGATGTGCGATATGAGTTTAGCAGCAGCATGGCAATCCCCACAGACCCGGAGGTTCTTCACCACACGAATTGTTGATCCGGGGGGCGTGTTTAACAATCCATATGCAATGGCCAGTTTTTCACTATGATATCTAAGTGAAATTTCTTTCTCTTCTTCTCCCATTTCTGGATGAAAAACTAGAGAAGTATCAGGTACATAGCCAACCATCTTCAATTCCTTCATTAACTCATCGAGCGCCTTATGCAGAGACGTTGAAACAGTATTCACCCCATCCCCAGAGAAGAATTCATGCACTACATTGTCCACCTCTATAGAGCTACAACCAGGAACCTTTACCACCCCTCTATCTTTCATCAATTTCCTAAGGAAATCCACATCTTCCCATCTCCCAGCTCTTGCACACAAGTTGGACAAGATTACATAATCTCCACCATGAGAGTCATCTAATTCAAAAATTCGTTCAATCACCCTCTTTCCCAATTCCACATCACCATGACTACTACAAGCAGCTAACAATGTTCGCCATAGTATCGGTGTAGGCTTGATAGGCAATTCATCAATGAACTTATAAGCCTCATCTACGTGTCCTGTTCGACCAAGTAAATCCACCATACACCCATAATGCTTAATACCAGGGACAATGCCATACTTATTGGTCATAGTAGAAAAATACCCCCAACCTTCCTCCACTAGTCCATTATGACTACAAGCATATAAGAGGCCCAAAAATGAGATCTCATCAGGTTGCACCCCTGCCTTTCTCATCTCTTCAAACGTTTCTATGGCTTTATAACCCTTCCCATGAGTTGCAAATGCCACAATCATCGCTGACCAAGCTGGTGTATCTCTTAAAGTAATGTTCTCAAACACACAAACTGCGCCTCCAAGCTCCACACTTTGCATACATATCAATAATCGCGGTGCTTACTTTAATATATTTATCAACCCGTGTTTCTTAACATATTCATGTATCCACTTCCCCAAATCCAACGCTCCTAATAAAGCACAGCAAGACAGAACACTTAACATGGTAACATCAGTAGGCTTCAAACTCTTAACTTGCAATTCACGAAACAACGACAAGGCCTCATTTGGTCTGCTACATTTAGTATAACCAGTAATAATAGCATTATAAGAAATTACACAAGGATCCAACATCTTATCAAAGACTCTCCGAGCCGAACCCAAATCATTACACTCAGTATACAAACTAGTAAGGCTTGGACATATGTAAATGTTATGATTAAGCCCAAGCTTAATCACAAGGCAATGAATTTGTTTACCTTCTTCCAAGGCTTTAGAACTCGAACAAGCTTTAAGAACAGATGGGAAAGTGTAGTCATCAGGCAGGAAACCAAAGGAAAGAAGCTGAGAGACGAGGGGGATGGCTTGGATTGGGGTATTTGAACGGGAATAGCCACGAACCATGGTGTTGAAAAGGACAATATCAGGTTGGGAAACTTTGTCAAATACTTTGTGGGCATATTCCATGGAGCTGAAAGTTGGGTTCTTGGTACAGAAATTGATGAGCTTGGTAAGGAAAGTGATGTCATTTTGGAGATGGGTTTTGATTGCAGAGGCTTGGATTTGCTTCACTTCTCTCAAAGAGGTGCATTTGGGTAGAAGGGAAAGAGGGTTTTGTGGTGGATTTATAGGCTCAATCGTTGAGATTTTTCCGTTGGGTTTTGAAGGAGGAATTGAAGTTATCGGAGTCGGGGCTGCTGCCATAGCAATAGACAGGCTATGCTAGAAAGCAGAAATCTTTTTGTTTTTAAAGGTTTTGTGGAGGGAAGCCAAAAGAAATAGAGATAAGAATTTTACCCCTTTTTTATTGAAAAAATCCGATGCATTCATGAGATTAAATTAAAACCTTCTGACCAGTCGAGTTCTGCCACGTAACTGATTTGTACATTCCTTTGGTACAAGTCAACATACTCTAAATTCTGCGAAGAAAATTGAACTGAAAAAGGCAAGGCAAACATGCGTAAATGGACCCTGAGTTGAGTGGTTTTAGATTCCTCGGAGACTCCGTTTTTAGGGTTCACTTATGTTTTTTTTCTCTCTTTCCCTCAGATATTTTCGATATTTCGTCGTCACTTTGTCTCTTCCATTCCTTAAAAACATGTGCTTTCTGGTAATTCCCAGAGCTTTTATTTTTGTTTTCTTCTTACCATTTGTTTATATTTGTCACTTTATCTTTTCTGGGTATCAACTGTTTTTCCCAATTTTAAACTTGGCAATGGTGTTTCAATGCTTTCTTGTATCAGATGGTTGCAAATGTTATGGGTTGCGTTTCATTGCATCTTCAGATTCATTTTTTATTTTTATTTCAAGTTCTTGAATCATGTCACTAGGAACTGGTGCTGGGTTCTGATAACTGTGACTCAATGATTGTTTCATCATTTGTTTAATCATGTACTTAAACATTGATGTCCGGATTTTTTTTTCTGCTAATTGTTCTTTACTGTTAGAGTTTATTTATTTTTAACTATGTTTAATCTTTCCTGGAAAAACAACAGATAATACGTTGTTACTAGCTGTAGACTCATTTCCTCATTGTTCCGTGCTTTGCTGTAAACAATTCGAAATGACCATCAAAGAGAGGCGATATTTTCAAAATGTTTCACAAAAGAAGAAGATCGTGGTGCTCGAATCTCAGAAAGAAAAGTTGATTGAGGCTGCCCCAGAAGAGCTGCTTGTGCAGGGAGGTCGGAGGAAGAAACAATGGAATGGAACTACACATCAATGGGATGCTGCACTTCGTGCAAATGGTAGCCAAACTGCTGAGCTTTCTCCTCAAGGGTGTGAGGTTGGGAGACAAGTTGAAGATGAAAGAGTTTGTCGTAGTGAAGAAAGGTTATTGGTAGAGGGAGGTGATAATCGTCTGTTGATCCTTGCGAACTCTGCTGAATTAATGTCAGAATCGGAGGATAGTTTACGTAGAGTACATGTAAATCGTCAAGGTTATGAAGGTTAGTACCTCAAAAGTTTGGAAAATTTTCTGGTTAGTTTCAATTTTATCAGGTATATGACTCATGTCAAGTCGCTAATTATCCTGTTGTGTTTTAGTAGATGTACGATAAGTATGAAGCAGAGCAAGTGAAGATAGTTTTGTTATAACAGCAGGCTACATATTTCTGAAATGCATTGACTTAGTTTATATACATAGCAAAACTTAACAAGTGAGCTTTGAACAGTAGCTAGGCACAAGAATACATACTAATCATCACATAAGTCATTCACCAGATGCATAGCTATCATAATTTGACAGAAGGCTAGGTGTCTTAATACAAAATGGTCACATATGGTCGTAAGGTTAATAGCATGCACTGATGTGGTTTTCAATGCAAGTCCTATTTCAACATATCCATCATCAATGTTAGATTCTACCACGGAGGCTCAACTTTCGAAAGAAAATGTTAATGATGTTATGGCTACATATAATTGTACAGCTTTCCAACAATTCATGGCTTTTGACCCAGCAAAAAAATTCATGGCTTTTGTGACATGTTTATCTAGTAACACATTTTCACAACTTCTTCTAAAAGTATCTGGGCTTTGTTTTTTAGATAAGAATTGGGATAAAGTTGGTGAAGTAACCCTAATTGCTCATGAGAGAAGCGAGAAGGATGGATCTCATTGTGAAGGAAAAGTGCCCCGCTTAAGTCAAATTCAGCATCAAGGTTGCCTGAAAAGTCAATCATTCATGCAACAGAGCATCCAAGAGGACACTTGTGGGTGCATGCAAAGAAGTAAAACTCGCCTGACTCAAATTCGCCGTCTAGCTCGCTCGGGAAATCATGTGCTAGGGAAAGAGGATAGTGCAGGATGTTCTCATGGCAAGTTGCCAGGAGGGATAACTCGCCTGAGTCAGATTAGGCGTCAAGCTCGGTCTACAAACAATTGCTCACTACAAGAACGAATTGAGGAGCATATGCACAGGCATTTAGATTGCCAATATCATGAAGGTAATTTATGAGGAGATATATATAGGACTAGGAAGGCATGCATGTATTAAGTGTTTTGAATTTTGGGATAGCCATTCTTTTTCAACAACGCCTGCTGCTAGGCAGAAACTGGTGCTTAGTGGTAGGCACTTAGCAATATAGAAAAATATACCTTTGGTCACCTTCTACCTTGTATCACCTTACACTCACAAACTGTATCCAAAGTTTCTCCAGGCAGAGCAGGTGTATGATCATTTAGATTTCATGTGAGCTGCTTCTTATTTTTCCTAGTTCCTTTGTATTTCTATCAGATCTCCAGATGGTAGATGCAGCTGCAGAACAATGTGCAAAGCTAGACAGCTGCCAAGTGATTGGAACTTCTTCCTCCTCTTGTTCTGGTAACAAGTTCTGGAGCTTTTCATCCTATAGTTCCTATATGCCTGAAATTTATGAGTGGTTTTTGTAATCTTTGAATTATTGGTTGTGGATTTGGTTTCAAGAAGTAGAAAGGAAATTTAAATAGAGAAGTAGGTCCAGGCGTTGAAATTGTGGATTTTGTTATCTTGGTTTGGAGAATGAGCATAGGCACTTATAATTTAGAAAGTCCTGCCAAGTTATGTGACCTGAGCCAGTAGTAGGGAGCTGGATGATGATCCCTCTTCGCTCGAAGGGGATAATATCTGTAACCTGTTGATTCTTTATTCCATGACCTGATAATATCTGCTGAAAAGAGATAATTTCACTGACCTGAAAAATTTAGACGTTTCAAAATTAAAAAATATATATTATCCCCCTTAATATGATATTAGTAGAAAAGTGTATCATTCCCGCTGCTTTGAAAAAGCATCCTGTTGGTATTGCTAGTTCTGCAAGCAACACTGCCATCTTTTTGACAAAACCTTTCACCTTTAAACCACCAATAGTTAATGACCTAATGATTCTTGTTACTTTCATAGTTTCCTTTTTAGGTGTAAACAATGTTGGCACTAACATTTCATGGTCATTAACAGTAGATGCAGAAAATGTGGACAAGATGATATGTGAGAAAGGAACACTACGCTTAAGCCAATTAAGACGCAAAGCTCGTTTGGGAAATGCTGATTTGGTTGCAAAGAGAAATACTGGATAGCTGTAACGTATGCATATATTTTTAGCTTTTAATGCAATAAACATCATTTGCTTATTCTAAGTCATTAATAGCAATACTTTTAATGCGTCATTTGCAGAAAGAATTAAAATGCGAGTTCAGCCTGGATTTTGTGGCTAAGAAAGTAGAGGTAAATCCTTCAGCTTCCATTTGGAAAGGGTTCTAACTTTCCCCACTCACTTTTCCTCATTATAACTCATGTGTTACGCATGGTGGTTGACATGGAATCATGGCTAGTTAACTCAATGCTATAGTTGTCATTGGCATGCTCTGAAACCAAGATTCACTTTCAACATAGGCTAAGCTCAGAGATATATTAATGAAGAAATGCATCCCAATGAAATCTCTATTGCAGTGTGATGGAATTAGCTAATGAGTTGGATCAAAGTTCTATTTGTTAGATATTTAGTTGTTTGAATTGTTTGATGCTAGGCCTTGCCAATCTAAGCTGGTGCACATTTGCATCAAAAGGAGGGGCAACTGGAGGTCAGTTCTAGGGAGGGGGCTCCTTGAGTTGAAAGCAGTTAAGATAGTTGTGTTACTGTAAGGTTGTATGATCCTTAAGTTGACTATTTGATCAGGTTTGTAAGTGAAGATGATACAGCGCCAGCCTACAAGAACTTTATATTTATTCATGCTTCCAAATTGAGAAATTTTGAAAGCTTTTGCTTTCCTTAAGTTGTATATAGAAGGCACTTTTTCACTTTTGAATTCCACTGCCAGCATTAATCTTAATGCCATCTGCTTCAGTTTTCTCAACCAAGCTTTCAGTTTTTACTGCCTATACAATCTACATCGAAGCATCTAACATCAAAAGTACATGCAGACAATTTTAGCTACATAAACTTACCATCTAATATCTATTACATTACATCATGTGCCTTAAAAATTTCAGTTTGATTTGGATGCAGAAGAAACTTGTAAAGAATGCCTTTGTGTTTGAAGTTTGGGGTTAGAAGATCAAGGGGCTTCAAGCTGCGTCCTTAGGGTATACTGCGTACACTATGCTTATTAGATTTTAACATCAACAGATATCATAGGGAAATTTGCAAAACAGTTTGAAATAGAAATACATTCAATCATAATGACCTTTCCCTCTCTCTGTACAGCTAAGAAATTTGTTAATACTTTGTTTATATATGGAACTTTTATATCTCTTTCCTTCTACTTCCTCTACATTTTTTAGCTTCTATGTTTTTCCATGTTATGGTTGGTATAGTAACTTTTTGTTTGATCTTGGATCGATAACTAATCATCTTAACTTTCTTTCAATTCTTGCATGAACTTTGTCTAAGGGTTGTTCTTGCAACATCTCCTTGTATGCATTTATTACTGCTATGAATGGGGCAGCTACCAAAATCCCAACAAGTATTATCAGTTCAAATGCAAAGTTTCGAGCAGCTTTGTTAATATCAGGCATAAATGCTCTGCTTGTTTCGTTGCTGCATAGACTCCTAACAAGGATTGATCCCTATTCATCCATATGCATATACTATTGTTTGTCTGACTTTTGTTCTGATATATCTCATCTTATTAATAAAAAGCTTGGGTTACTGTCCATTTCAAATGATTCATAGACGGTTAACAATTTGCTTTACGGAAGTGAAGGTTCCCACAACATTTATAAGAGACCCAGCCACCAAAATGGTAACAATTATTACCGACTCGAACTTGAATTTTCCGAGTAGTTTAGTTAGATTGAAGGTATCACAGGCATGGTAGTAATATTGATACACTCAAGATGATCTGATGAAAGTCATCACGTAGTTGAAAAATGGGATGGTTATGGCAACAATGACAGTGCTGATCACAAAAGCCGTTCTAATGATGATACTTAGAGACCTGTTGTTGGGGAATAGTGATTTTTCTTCAATGGTTGTAACAATTGGAATAGTCATAATAGCATATTTTGTGAGGCGATTGATTAGAGTACTTTATATTGTTATATTTGTGCTGATCTTTTTGATAGGATGGTTTAATGTCACTTGACATTTTAGATGTTATCCATACATCAGGTAGCCTGGAACAGCCATTGATCCATAGCTGATGGTGCTTGTGAGGAAGCAGACAAGTAAAACCTGCAACAAGATAAAACACAACTTGAAAGATGAGATGATGTTAATACAAAACAAGATCTTGTGTAGTTCATACAGATAGAATCCATGACAGATTTTGCAGGAAATAGTCTCCAAGTAGAAGTCTAGAATATTGTTTCTTACCTTGAAGAACCGGCTTCTGTGTTTCATTGAATTGCATAATGTGGGGAAAATGAATGCCCATGATAACAGAAGGTAAACATGCATATAGCAGTAGGCATTTCTCTCCAATTAAAAAGCACATTGCTTTCATGGAACCCTACTCCGTTCACCGCTCCAACCCAAAAGATGCAAACAACAGGGGTAAAAGAAGCCAAAACCCCACCTGCAAAAACATAGGCAAGCATTACCCAAACTCTTCCATAATGTAGTTGGCAGAACCACGAGGGAAGTCAGTAGCACAAAGGCTTGCCTTCCTCCAATTTTCAGCTCAGCAACTTCGAACCCCATGTTCGGAAACAGCTTGTCCAGATTGTCACCTTGGGAATTGACAGTATTCCAACGCCGGTGAGACAGAGTAATGAGATTGATGTTAGCCATGGGAAAATGGAGCACTGATAAATTTCAAAATAGAAATAACCAGATATAGATCAACTCTGTCAGTTGTTAATACATAATTCTCTAATGCAAAATATTGGCCGATGAAAATGATAAATTCTTTGGTTTCTTCATATACTGTAAAGAAACAAAAAACTTGTTTAATCAAGACCAGGAATAAGTTTTCTTACAGCCGTCAATGCAAAACAGATCAACAATGTACATAAATTCCTGTCTCCAATGTACAAATTAAGATAGACTCCACTCATTGTCCACCACCACCACGTAACTTTCAATGAAGCTGTCCAAAAATCGAGTATTCATGTAGATGCAGAGTTCCTTTTCTAGTCAGCCTCCTTCTGAAACCATAATCCACAATTCATGGCTTTTGTGACATGTTTATCCAGTAACACATTTTCACAACTTCTTCTAAAAGTATCTGGGTTTTTTCAAAGATTAGAATTGGGATAAAGTTGATGAAGTACCCAAATTGCTCATGAGAGAAACGAGAAGGAAGGATCTCATTGTGAAGGAAGAGTGCCCCGCTTAAGTCAAATTCAGCGTCAAGCTTGCCTTAACCAATCATTCATGCATCAGAGCATCCAAGAGGACACTTGTGGGTGCACGCAAAGAATTGCATACAACTCACCTGACTCAAATTCGCCGTCTAGCTCAATCGGGAATGGGAAAGAGGACACTGCAAGATGTTCACATGGCAAGTTGCCAGGAAGGATAACTCGCCTGAGTCAGATTCGGGGTCAAACTCGGTCCACAGACAATTGCTCACTGCAAGAACGAACTGGGGAGCATACACTATGCTTATTAGATTTTAACATCGACAGATATCATAGAGAAATTGGCAATACATTTTGAAATAGAAATACATTCAATCATGATGATCTTTCCCTCTCTTTGTACAGCTAAGATATTTGTCAATACTTTATTTATAGATGGAACTTACATTTCCTTTACCTCTTGCTTCCTTAGCCTTTTTCAGCTTCTATGTTTTGCCATGCTGTGGTTGGTATGGTAACTTTTTGTTTGATCTCTGATCGATAAACTAATCATGCGCTTTTCCCCTTTTATATCTGCTGAAGCTTGATCTGCACAAAACTGAATGGAATGAAACTCAGATACCTGTTTTTACTGTCTTAACTTTCTTTCAAGGACGTTCAAATTAATGAGTGTTTAAGAATTCCAGAGAATAGAGGAATAAGTAATAGTGAACTTATGCCTTACTCCCAAATTCTCCAAGAACTTTTCAAACTCTGATGAAGTGAACTTTGAGCCATTGTCACTTTTCAGTGTTTCGATATGCAGCTCTGCAAAGTTCTCAACTAAATTTCTAAACTTAACAAACTACTACAAAGCCTCTAACTTATGTACCAGAAAATAAACCCAATAGAATTTGATAAAGTCATCAATGAATAGGATAAGGTAGTTACTACCTTTCAAAGATGCTTGTTCATAGGACCACAGAGATCTGTATGAATGAGTTCCAATTTCTGCTGAGCTTTCCGCCTCCTTTCCTTAGGATAAGACTTCCTACACTGTTTTCCAAACTGACAAACATCACACAATTTCAAAGCTTTTTGTATACCAGGTAATCCATCTACCATACTTTTGGATGCCATCTTGACAAGTGAATTATAATTCACATGTCCAAACCTCCTATGCCACAACTCAGACATATTTACCTCACGATAGAAAGCACCATGCTCAGTTTCCATTAGATTCAATAGATAACATCTGCTTTTCATAGCTACTGTCAGAATTTTAGCACCTGTTCTGTCAAAGATAGTGCAAACTTTATCTTTAAACAACAACACATAATTGTTATCAGTCAATTGACCAACACTCAAACAAGTTTTGGTGAGCTTCTGGTATAAAATACACATCTGAAATAGACTTCAAACCTTTAAGAGTTTTCACAGCAATAGTACCAACTCCAAGTATCTTCAAAAACATACCATTGCCAATTTTTACTTTGGCATTAAAACTCCTATTAAGTTCACTAAATAGTTTCTCATTGCCTGTGATGTGGTTGGAACTACCACTATCAATTAACCAGGTATCATTTTCGGCCGAACCATCCTTAACTTCAGCCATGAATAGCACTTCTTCAGACTCAGTAACTTCCTCAGCTACTGCTACTGTTTTAACTCCTTTAGCTTTCTTCACTTTACATACCCTCTCTACATGACCAAGCTGATTGCAACCTCTACACTTTACATTAGGTTAGTACTAGCAGCACTTAGGTGTCTGATTGCTCTTTTTGCAAAGAGGACGAGGAGGATACTTGTCTTTTATTTTTCCCTGCTTATCATCACCTCCTTTACAAGTTTTTTTGCTTCCTTGAACTCTCACCCTTACTCCTTAAGCCTTTGGTCTTTGCAACCAAAGCATTTTCAACAGAAGCTTCCAACCTGAGAGCTCTACTTTGCTCTTGAGCAAACAAAGCACCAACTAGTTCATTAACAGAGATTTTGGTTAGATCCTTAGAATCTTCCAGAGGAGAGATATTTGCTTCAAATCTTTCTGGAATACTAACCAAAATCTTGTTCACTACTCTCTTATCACTTACATCTTCCCCCAGCTGTCTCAATTGATTAACTAACTTCAACAATTTGTCAGTATAATCCTGAATACTAACTTCTTCCTTCATTTTCATAAGTTCAAACTGTCTAGATAAATTTAACACTTGCATAGTCTTAGATCGATCACTACCCTGGTATTCCTCTTTCAAACTATCCCATACAAGCTTAGGATCCTCATAATTCATGATTTTTGCAAAACCAGATTCAAAAACAGCAGATTGTAAACAGATTAGGGTTTTGTACCTTTTAGCTACATCCTCACTATGTTGTTTGATTTGTGCCAATGTAGGATTGGCATGCCTTTGCACAAGAGCCTTTCCAGACTCAATAAAATCCCAAAGATCAAATGCCTTCAGGTAAGTCGGCACCTTAACAGCCCAAAAAGGATGATTCACTCCAGAAAAGATTGGAGGTGAGCCAGCACTGAAATCAGCTGTTGCCATCTAATTTTAAGAAGATAAACTCAGAGATAGATGATCAATTCATAAGTCTCTTAAGAATAAGAGCTCTGACACCATGTTCAAATTAATTGAGTGTTTAAAAATTTCAGAGAATAGAGGAAGAAGTACTAGAGAAAAAAGAAGAATAGGCTTTTCAGAACAAAGTAGAAAAAAATATTTTGGAATTCAACAACTTGTTCAATACATTTTTCAGTATTTATATGAAGAATTTGAAAATTCAAACTTTCTAGATCCTAAAATGTCGCATCGAAAACCTTAGCACAGCATTCACCATGAAAACCAGTGCCAAGCAACAGAAAAACAAATTGAAACAAACTTGCCTTAAAGCCTTACGAAGAAATACTAAACGGCATCGTATGAGAAACAACATAATAGAAGACTAAGTAAAACGACACACTTCTGCAACGCTTCATTAACAAAACTTTAGTAAAGTAGAAAACGACTCCTGCTTGCTGCGTTTTGATGCCAACGGCTACTTCACAACTTCAAGTTATCGTTGCATCGTGCCATCTGATTTTCTCCTCTTCAACAACCAATTCAGCTTTTCATCAACCAAATAAAGATCACTTTTCTAACAAAGGATTGTTGTTGCAACATCTCCTTGTATCATTTATTTCTACTATGAATGAGGCAGTTGCCAAAATCCCAACAAGTATTATTAGCAAGAACCCAAAGTTTTGAGCAGCTGTGTTAATATCAGACAATAAATATTCTGCTTGTCTCATTGCTTATTGCATATATTCCAAACAACGATTGATCTTTCCTGATCCATATACATATAGTATTACTTATCTGACTTTTGTTCTTGTATCTCTCATCTTATTAATAAAAAGCTTGGGTTACTATCCACTTCAAATGATTCATAGATGGTTAACAATTTGTTTTACGGAAATGAAGGTTCCCACTACACCTATAAAAGACCCAGCCACCAAAATGGTAACAATTATTATCAACTCAAACCTAAATTTTTGAGCAGTTTTGTTAGTTTTAAGGTAGCACAGGCATGGCAGTAATATCGAGGAGGTGACACTCAAGAACGATCCGATGAATGCCATAATATAGCCGAAAAATGGGACGGTTAAGGCAACAATGACAGTGCTGATCACAAGAGCTGTTCTAATGATGATGCTTAGAGATCTGCTATTGCTGAAGATTGATTTTTCTTCAATGGCTGTAGTAATTGGAGCAATTATGATAGCATATTTTGTGAGGGGATTGATTAGAGTTGTATAGATTGCTATTTTTGTACTGATCTTTTTGATAGGGAGGTTTAATGTCACTTGAGACTTCAAATGTTCTCCATACATCAGGTAGCCTAGAACAGCCATTGATCCATAGTTGATGGTGCTTGTGATGAAGCAGACAAGTAAAACCTGCAACAAGAGAAAACACAACATGAAAGATAAGATGATGTTAATACAGAACAAGATCTTGCGTAGTTCATACTGATAGAATCCAGGACAGATTTTGCAGGAAATAATCTCTTCCCCTTGCATCTCCAAGTAGGAAGTCCGGAATATTGGTTCTTACCTTGGAGAACCGGCTTCTGTCTTTCATTGAGCTGCATAATGTGGGGAAAACTGAATGCCCACAATAACAGAAGGTAAACATGCTTATAGCAGTAGGCATTCCTCTCCAATTCAAAAGTACATTGCTTTCATGGAACCCCACTCCGTCCACTGCTCCAACCCAAAAGATGCAAACAACAAGGATAAAAGAAGCCAAAACCCCACCTGCAGAAACATAGGCAAGCATACCCAAACTCTTCAACCATGTAGTTGGCAGAACCACGAGGGAAGTCAGTAGAACAAAGGCTCGCCTTCCTTCAATTTTCAGCCCGGCAACTCTGAACCCCGTGTTTGGAAACAGCTTGTCTAGATTGTCACCTTCTAATATCAGAAACTCAACTGCAACCAGGTACAGCTCAAGACACATGAACAGCGATACAATTGCTCTCCCTTTGTATCCAAAAGCATGCTCACCTATATCCGGATAGGTTTTGATGAGGGGATTCAAATCCATGCAGCGTCGAAGAAGCAGTCCAGTGTACCAACAGATAACAGCCACCAGAAAAAAAGGCAATAAGCTTAACCATCCACCTTGAGCAAGTGCATAAGGAATTGACAGTATTCCTACGCCTGAGAGACAGAGTAATGAGCTTGACCATTACAGTATTTCTAAATATTGACCAACGAAAATGGAAGTAAAGGATTCATGCGGTAGACATAATTATTGGGAATATGTCTTTATTTGATGAAGCTGTTCTATCACTTCCTAGATTCCTATTCGAAAGATGGTAATTCAACTTCTTTGGTTTCTTCATATACTGTAAAGAAACAGAAATTAAGCTTGTTTAATCAAGATCATGTATAAATTTTCTTACAACATGAGGAAGAGAATAGTAGCATAAATACATGAACACAGCACTTCTGTGAAGACCTGGAAAGGTTGTGACAAATGACCCTGGCCCTTAGGAGCTAATATAGGAATGGGGAACCTGATAGCTGGACCTAAGTATCCAGGTAAACTGGTATAGTTTAGTGTGCCTTTGAATGCTTGCTTTTCTGCAATTTACCCTATGAATTTATCCTGCGCATTTAATATCAGAGGAAGAGAGAAACCTGATAAGGCATTGAGCCCATTGAAACAAGTTCTAAGGAAGCTTGTGCCTCTGCCTTGTTGCTGTGGCTGTGGAAGCTCATTTTGGCTCTCTAATTTCTCAGCTTTCGAGATGTCCATCTTGTGCCACTCATGAACCCACAATGTTGGATATATATACAAGAGGAATAGGCCGATGTTTGTTGTTTTGATGTTGACAAGTATACACCTCCATTATTGTCTTCTATTAGAATAAATTGCTTGGTTTGTGGGAGGAGTAAGCGAAGATAGTAGATGCCCATTCAACTTTAACAGGAAAAAGCATCAGGAATGGGGGCTAATATCCTTGGCATAGGGTGATAATTACTATTCAGCTTTCAAAAGGAAAACCCACTCACATGCTACATTTAATGTTTGATATATCTTATTTCCTTTTCTTTGAGGGTTGTTGTTGTTGGAGGAGGAGATAAGGCCTTTCCTTTTTGACTCATGCAACTTTCATGCATCCCAACCTATATGTTGAAAAGATTAGTCCTTAATGGTAACCTCTATCTGCTGTTCCATTAAATGAATCAGCTGTTTATAGAACTTAAACATTTCTCCATCAGCAAATTTTAGCTATAATTGGGTGCTTCACACATGAAGTTATAGTGCAGAAGGGATATACATTTTTGTTGCAGTCTTTCCAAGATTATGTGGTAGAATCTGAATCTATCAGAGAATTAAGTTGGGAGGACACTGCAGGAAGACTAGTCCTTATCATCATTATTTAATTCCTACCGGAATAATGTTTTCTCTTGGTGAATGCTCAAAGATGATTAAGCTATTTCAGCATCAAGCACTAAAATTTAGCCCTCCCAGTAACTGTCATGCAAGTTTTTTGGACTACCTTACTCCTGGAAAGAATGATTCTGAAAAAAGTATCTGAAATGAGTTACCAGGAAAAGCATGTACTTCAAAGGGATGGAATATACCAGAAAAATATTTGAATTCAATGCAAAGCATTTTATTGACTTTAAATCACAATTTTGATGACAGAAAACAAAGATGACAACAACAACTCTAGCTTTATGGATTGAATCAGGATAACATAAAAGCCCGATGAAGGTTTAGGATATCTTGTGCAGTGAATGCAGGCTGCAAATATGCCTGCTCCAAATGAACCCTTTGGGTCAGGGATATCGCAGTCAAAAGCTTCATTAAGATGATTTACTGACAAGGTTGAATCAAACCTTTTCCCAAGTCTTTCATCTTCTGATATTTTGCAGAGGGGAAAGAAAGGAAAAGATCACACAATCCACTCTTATCATTCAACTACAGTGAACAACCTGACAAGGTAAAACGGTGTGATCCAATATTCTTATCTTTATGGTGACATAACTACTATGCCAAAAACAATCCTACATCAGTCTTTTGTGATGTGAAGGTCAAAAAACTATCCTTCCTCTTTTTCCATTGCTGATAAGATCATAACATAATTATTTTGCCAGCTTTTAAAAAAGGGCAAATAAATTGGAAAAAAAGTTAAGTGTATTCTTTGTGGATTAGGTGCTTTATCTGATTGCTGAATTGTTGAAAACTTTGAAGAATGGCAGTATCTCAAGCAACCAAAAAAGGCAGAATAAATTAAAAAAGAGAGAGAGAGAGAGAGAGAGAAAGCAAGCTTTGGTATTCTAACAGGAAGGACGATTGTGTTTTCTTTTGTATTAATTTTGCTTGGTGGAAAGGGATATTAAACATAAAAGTTCATCTACAAAGTAAAGAGGGCTTGACAATGCTTGTCTCCTAAGACCAGTAGAAGTACTTTTTGATACTTTACCCTATTGTGTGTAGCAAAGATCCATTAACAAATTTTAATGCACAAATCATAATCTGTATAAAGGAAAGTAAACAAAGATTCACTACAATCTTTTTTTTTTTTGTATTTTCCTTTCGAAGATGACCCACTCGTCAATTATTATTGAAATTTTAAAACATGTATCTAATTTAAAACCAAACCAATTATCAATAGAAAGGGAAATTTTTGTTTATATTTATATGTTCATATATCCGCAACACAAACCTATCATATGCCATGAATCAATAAAGGAGATCCAGTCAACCAATAAGAGTAACGCCCGCTTTGATACCATGTTAAATTTTATGATAGAGATGTCTTGTTTATCTATATATATCTAAAATACTTGTAACTAAGATAATCTTAATTTATTAGATATGATTTTTCTTTCGTTTTGACAAACGGTGCTATAAAAATTATCTTCGAGCTGAACCGTGTTGCACAGGGAAGATCACTTTAGATTGAGGGCAGTAAAGAAAGCCGCACATGCATGGTTTTCACCTTTGTTGTCCACTAGGGTCAATGGTAAAGTCAACCCTGGTCGTCCCTTGAATTTCACTCCATATATTGTGGCCACAAGGTTCATTCCCAGAAGAGTGGATTGTGGCCCAAAAGTCTCCCACATGCAATCGTTTTTCATTTTATTATCAGAGGAACTTCAGTTGCATGCGTAGGTTTCAGGTGTTGGAGCAACACCCAGGTATCCAATAGATCATTCAAAACATTTGAAATGGATTAATGGGGTGTTCAACCAAATTAAAAGTTGAAATCATCTGATTTGAGCAATATCTTGACAAGGATTCATATACCTTTTCCTTTTCATCATCCTTTAAAACAAAATTTGCCTGGATATAAAATATCAGATGGACCCTTCGTCTTAACCGTTGTGATCAGAGGGTTAACACTGCTTTCTTTTCAGTCTTTGACTCCTTTATATATACATGAATACCCTCTCCTTTATGAATGAAATCTTATCTTTCAAAAAAATATATATATCAGATGGACCCAACATGTTACAAAAAACTATGATATAAAAACAATGATGTTGCTTCACTGAAGTAAAGAAAGCCAATGGAGAAACAGGATACCGGACATGGAGAAACATGGAAATGATACCACAACTTATGGCGCAGAATTGCACTAATCATAAAGTGAAAACAATCATAACATGAGCTGACAAATCCTTTTACATCAGCAACAAACTTTAAACAGACAAAAAAAAGTGATAGAAGTACTTGGAATTTGGAAAGAGATAAGCTTAGAACATCAGTATTTCTGCAACAAGAGCATTGTAATGATCTCAAGCACTTTTTCCTAGGCTTTTGTTTAGAAACCTGAATGTAAGAAAAGCATCTACAATTATTATCATAGTTGAGTATTCTTCAGCAGTAGGAGATCCAGATCAGGTTGCTCTCTGTAAGGGTAAATGGGTGGTTTCCAGGAACAATTACACAAGACAAGTTAGTGATACACAGATGATTTTACCAAATTTCTCGCTTCGAATATCAATCAAAAGCAAAAGCCTTATTATGTACTAAAGTTTTGAATCCTTACTGTTATTATCCAGATATACCAATAGAGTTCTAGTTCAATTTCAAGGACTCTCTTCCATCTGGTCTGAGCATTGACTTCACATCTCCATCTTGAATAATCAAACACTATTTCACCTAGCAGGATTTTCAGGCTGCATACAAAGAAACACTTCTTGACATTTGATATGTTGAAAAAGCAGATGAATGAACTTTCCATGTGGTAGGTAAGGAGTTGAATCAATATTTTCTCACCACCTGTTTTCCACTCTACTAGACCGAGCGTTTGTGTAAATCTAGTCATCCCTACATTACATGACTCCAAATATTAATGCCTCAGAGCATTTTATCATGGCCTGTGGCCAGCATTCCTTAGACTTCAATTGTTGGAAATTTTCTATTTTGATTCTAATACATAGTTTAAAATTTGATTTTGAAACATATATGGCAGGTAAAATGATATGTCCTGAGTTCCATCATAGCGCATGAATGTAATCTAAAATGTTGGAAAAATCTAATCATCCACCAAATATAGTGATAAAGAAGATCGTGCTTGTCATGGTACCTCATAAATATCAGTTTCTTTGTAAATTTTTGTACATGATGGTTGGATAACAGAGAGAACCTGGCATCAGACCTTGGTACAATTCTTACAAGGGCCTGGAAAGAGTATTATTGAACTTGTTTACCACATTTTGATTTTAGCTTGAGCTCAAATTACTCATTCTTGAGCAAATATAAATCCACCACTTCTAAAGCCTATCAAATATGTGATGTTTATATGTTGGTATCTCTGCCTGATCAATTATCTTGTATACATAACATGGATCAGAAGCAAACAACCACCGCAACCAGGTAGAGGCACCACCTTCCGAAGAAGCTGTTTTCTATGAGCTCAAAGCCTTATCAGGTTCCTTTCTCCCTCTGATATTGAACGTGCAGTGTAAATGGGTAATGTAACTGAAGAATGGTTGGCACCTTAAAGCAGCCTATTCTATAGCACTTCGAGCCAAAACTAGGAGGGAAGCGAGTAGAAACGAGGGCTTGATCTACTCCATTTTTTTCAGCTGCAACTTCGAATCGCATGTTTTGAAACAGCTTGTCCAATCGTCAGTAGGTTTGCCCAACATGGGTTCGCAGTTTCCGATTGGAATTGGCGGGAAGCAAGCCTTTGTTCTACTGGCTTCCTTCAAAATCGACTTGCAATGGAACTTCTAGTTTCTGTTGCCTTTTCAGAGGGAGAGAGTTGTTGGGTGTGTGTCTTTTCACTTGCACCACACACTCGATCGTCGAAAAACCGCTCTGAGAAATACAATGCAACTAAGTGCGGAAACTTGTCACACTGAATAAATGTTGTTCGGAAATACAATGCGAAATAGGGAACACAAAGTGGGCCCGCACAAATCCCGAAATATCGGCTCTGACAGGAATGCGCCCGCCACCACCTCTGTGGCTCCAGATGCGTGCTCGATGCTCCTGTGATCGCGTACGTGCAATCCGCGATCACTTCCGACTTCCTGACGGCCCGAAATGCGCCTCGGAAGTCCGCTGCCCGTATCTCCAAAACCGTGCGTCGGATGACGAAACCGACGTCGCCGTTGGAACCGCAGCGCGTCAAAACCCCCGGGGTAGCATCCCCGTCGAAATCCGGGTCGGTCGCCGGAGGTTGCCGGAATCCGGTCACCGGTCGTCTTCTCCGGGAACTGGTTTCGGTCAAACTCGACCAAAACCAACGCGACCAGAACTGATGCGTTAGCCTCCTCCTTGCGGTGCTCTCCGCGCCAATCGTCGCTTGAAATACCTCCCGGATCGGTGAAACCGAGCTCTCCAAGTTTCGGTCGCCGGAATCCCGCCGTCCGGCAACACCACTGCCCAAGACCGGGCTCTCCAAGCTCGCCTCAACACGCCGTGCAAGGATCCGCAGGCT